GATTTTTTTTGCATGAGATTGGTGGGAAAACTGTGGAAAACTATTTCATTAAAGAAAAATGGCGTTATTTAAACATTTGGCTAGAGAAATTCATGAACAACCCCACATTCGGAAATGCGGCTTTTAATTAATAAATTTCCGTCAAATTTTATTATCGTTTTCGCTACTTGACTCGCGGATCACCAATTAATGTATTTAATGATCATATGATCGTATGATTGAAACTATAAATCTTACACTCCCTCACCAAATTCACCAAATTATTATGGAAATATTTCAGCCACGTTATACAATATGAACCCATTTAGTATAATTGATCCGAAAATCCCTTGACCACATGCTAATTGATGATCACATTTTAGAAAAGTTTAATCGTGAAGATAAACGCTTGTTATGTCGGAGTAATCATGTAAGTAAAATAATTTGCAGATTACTAAATACAATAAAAAATATAAATAAGCCTCTGAAGAAGTAATAATAATAATAATAATAATAATAATAATAATTAAGAATAAGATGATTTTTAAACCACTTGAAAATCTAGAATTTAATGATTATGTCTTATTGATAAGTACACTATTAATGACATATGTGGCACACTATTATTACAACTATTTTACTCGTGTCAATCCCTTACCCGGTCCTCTCCCATTCCCATTAATTGGTAATTTGCCTCAAATTTATTGGAAATTTAATGGAGATGTACAAATGTTTTATAATTATTGTTACGAGAAATATGGTAACATACATGAGATTTATGATAGTGATCGATCTATAGTTTTATGTCGAAGAGAATATCTTGAAAATATTTTATCTCCTTCGGAAAAAAACGTGCATTGGAGGAGATTTGACAATAGCATAAAACCAGAAGAATTTGGAACTGAAGGAAAAGGAATATTGTTCAATAATAATTTTAGATCATGGATATTTAATCGTCAATTTTTTTCACAAGCCATTCTATCACCGAAATTTACCGATGAAGCTATTGATTGGACAAACAAACTTTTTGATGAATTAGAAAGTTATTGGGATAAATTATTTCTTAAAGAAGAAGTTATTAAAGAAAATAAAGTTCAATTAGATTTTTCTGGATGGTTTAATAATTACACAAATGATATAATTATTAGCTTGTTAACTGGTGAAAAATCTTATTCAATGGCAGCTTATTTTGATACACTTAGTGATGAAAAATCTCAATCAGTAATGATTAATGATTCTGTGAAATTAGCTCAAGCACTTCATAAACAACTTTTATGGATATCATTTTTTCTATTCATTCCTTCTTTCTTACGACATTATATTCCATTTTTTAAAAATAAAGCAAATGATATGCTTAATAACATGGGATTTCTTAATCAAAGACTGGATGCAATTATTAAGAGACGTAGAAATGAAATTGATAATATATCATTGGATGAACCCTTACCGCATGATATGTTGACATCGATGATTATCAAAAATACACCTCGTGATGATAATTATTTCGAAACTGGTGAAGCCAACAGATCTATGACTGATAGTGAAATTCGCGTTAATTTACTTGAAGGAATTATTGCTGGAACTTATAAGGTAAGAGAAATCTTAATTTTAGGTTTATTTTACAATGTTAATTTTTAACTTGATTTTAAATTTAACTTCCCTTGTTATTTCAAATATAGCCTACGAATATGTTTTTATTCATTATCTATTATATTGCTCATAATCCAGAAGTGAAAGAGAAAATGTTAGAAGAAATTGATAGTATATTTCAAGATGATAAAATGCGACCAATTACTAAAGATGATTATTATAGTTTAAAATATTGTGAAGCAATTGTAAAAGAATTAGCTCGTGTTCTCCCAGTAATACCTACATTTCCAAGATGTACTGATAAACCCGATAAAATAGCAGGATATCAATGGCCAGCTGACACAACATTTCTAATTAATGTTAAAGCTATTCATAATAATGAAGATTATTGGGAAGAACCTAATAAATTTAACCCTGATAGATGGATGGATGAAAATTTTGAACCAAAGAAGAATTCTTTTATCACGTTTGGTGGAGGACTAAGATTATGCCCAGGAAATAAGCTAGCAATGATTGAATTAGTTTGTTTGATTGCTTTATTATTCAGAAAATATGAAATTAATTTAGTAGATATGAATTTTCCTAAAACTATTGGTATCGGTATTACAGTCTTTTGTGTCGAATTTTTAGTTGAAATTAAACTAAGAAATTGACTTTCTTATATTTAAAGGATGTACTATTATCTTTATATCTAAGTATTTGTTATTACTACGTAGGTATATAATAATGTACTCTATTATGGTTACAGTATCTTGTATGAAGTTTTCGGATTGGCCATTTCCTGAACTGGATCATTTCCCGAAACTCCAATTTCTATCGGAAATCGGTCTTCAGGAAAATAAAGATTTAGGGAATTAGCATTCGAGAAATTGAAGTTCCAGAAATGATCCAGTTCGGGAAATGAGTATCCAACAAATTGATTTTTGGAAATGGTATATTTGTGAAATGACATTCGAGAAAAGATTCGATTTATAATTTAATATGTCGCAGCGTCATGTAATGATATATATGCAGTGGATAGTGTCACCGTCCGTAGGGATATTTTATGGATCTTTATATATAATTTAAACAAAAACGTTGACAATGCTTGTTTACTTAAATTCTGTTATATATACCTAAACGTAACGAACAAATATCGACCACATTAATTTACAAATGGATATTATATACACTTGAATACGTCAAGAAACCATAGCTCATCAACATACTCACGTGTCAAAACATATATCAATTTTATGATCGCTTAAACCGTTCCCGCAGCTAACGCTGGCCGTTTGATCACGTGTTCGTGTAAACTCTGTATAACTCTGGCAAACCTGTCGGGCAAATGTCCTGTCAAGGAGTCATCCGTCGCCGTATATTGCCGACCATAGTGCCCCCAGGTATGATACAAATTTCGGGGGTTGACCTTGTACTACCACGTCTATAACTCAAATTTTTATTATAACAGCATTATTTCAGAAAATCATTTATATATAATTTCTTGATTCTCTAAATAATAAAATCGATAGAAAAAGTACCTTTTTTCACGTAAAAAAAGGGGAGATACTATACATAAGGGGAGGGGGTAATGCGTCAGGATATTTTATGCATAATAATTTATTTGTATATTTGATGTATTATAATTGTTAAATGTTCATCAAGTGTACTTTATGATTTAAAAAAAAAAAGAATATCACATTTGGTTAAGTCTTAAATTACCTTTAAATTTATTAATTTTTTAATATTTTTAATAAATTTAGTAATGTTACTAATGTACATTTTAAAGGAGTATATTTCCATATTCATTGCACTATAGACAAAATATTTTTCTGATAACTATTTACCAGCATTATATATTATTTGTGTAAAATGAATTTATAATTTTACATATATCGTAGCGGCACGTATATTCGTGATTTATTCTATATTATTCAAATGGTGCCAATGACAAAGAAATCAAGACTAGTGTTGTTTGGGAACATACCGATTTGCTGATATTCTCTATTTTCTCATATACTACTATGGATCGACATCCAATAACGTAATTTTTTTTTTTCACACGGATATTTAACTCAAGGATTTACTTGTTATTTTTAGACAAGTGTAGATAGGCGCCAATCCATAGGGATATTTAATTAATAATTTAAAGACGCTAAATTATTTAAGGTTAAAACACTCATTTATTATATGGCATTGCAAAATTGATTTCAAGTATACTGTATATAAGCATAATCAGCAACGTTAATTGACAACTTCAGAATATTATACAAAGCCATAGCCCCTTTGCTCCTTTGACGATCTTATTATTGGTGAGTCAAAACTCTGACGATCACATTAAATCATATTTATACTATGCTTGTCATTTTAAATTTCAAAATTTAATTTAAATATCCCTAAAAAAAATTACAAAAATAAAGAAAAAGATGTTTTTAAAACCACTTGAGAAATTTGAAATTGACAATTATGTTTTATCGTCGTTAAGTATAATATTAATGACATATGTGGTACATTATTATTACAAATATTTTAATCGTGTCAATCCTTTACCCGGTCCTTTCCCATTCCCATTAATTGGTAATTTGCCTCAAATTTATTGGTTATTTAATGGAGATGCACAAATGTTTTATAATTATTGTTACGAGAAATATGGTGACGTATATGAGATTTATGTTAGTGTAAGAACTATAGGTTTATGTCGAGCAGAATATCTTGAAAATTTTTTATCGTTTTGTAGAATAAGTGCGCATTGGGTGAGATTTCTCAATCATAGAGGATCAGAAGAATTGGGAATTAACAAAGGACTATTTTTTAATAATAATTATAAATCGTGGGAACATAACCGTCATTTTATTTCACAAGTCATTCTGTCACCGAAATTTTCTAATGAAACTATTAATTGGACAAACAAACTTTTTAATGAATTAGAGAATTATTGGAATAAATTATTTCTTAAAGAAGAAATTATCAAAGAAAATAAGAATATATTGGATTTTTCCAAATGGTTCGATCATTACACAAATGATATGATTATTAGCTTGTTAACTGGTGAAAAATCTTATTCAATGGCATCTTATTTTGATACACTTATTAGTGATGATAGTGATGAAAAATCTGATTATCAATTAGCAATAATTAATGATTCTGTGAAATTAGTTCAAGCACTTCGTAAACAACTTTTGGGAGTTTCATTTTTTATATTCATTCCTTCTTTCTTACGACATTATATTCCATTTTTTAAAAATAAAGCAGATGATATGCTTCATAACATGGGATTTATTAATCAAAGACTGAATGTAATTATTAAGAAACGTAGACAAGAAATTGATAACGCACCATTAGATGAACCTTTACCACATGATATGTTGACATCGATGATTATAAAAAATACACCTCGTGATCGTGATGGTAATAGATATGGTGAAGCCATGAGACCAATGATTGATAGTGAAATTCGTGCTAATTTACTTGATGGAATTCTTAATGGAACTCATAAAGTAAGTAAATTTTTTAAAGAAATTTTATTTATTAGGTTTATTAATCATTGAACTTTAACATAAATACAATACTATGAAATTTTAATTTGAAATTATATTAACCATTCTCTTTTTTTTTGTTTAAATTTAGTCTGCAAATATGCTTTCATTCATTATCTATTATATTGCGCATAATCCAAATGTCAAAAAGAAAATGCTAAAAGAAATTGATAGTATATTTCAAGGTGATAAAATTCGACCAATCACTAAAGATGATTTTTATAATTTAATTTACTGTGAAGCAATTGTAAAAGAAGTGGCTCGCGTTTTTCCAGTAGTACACTCATTTGAAAGATGTATCGATAAACCTGATGAAATAGCAGGATATCAATGGCCAGCTGACACATCATTTCTAATTAATGTTAAAGCTATTCATAATAATGAAGATTATTGGGAAGAATCTAATAAATTTAACCCTGATAGATGGATGAATGAAAGTTTTGAACCAAAGAAGAATTCTTATATCGTATTTGGTGGAGGATTAAGATCATGTCCAGGAAGAAAGCTGGCTATAGTTAAATTAGTTTGCCTGATGGCTTTATTATTTAGGAAATACGAAATTGATTTAGTAGATATGGATTCTCCTATTAAAACTATAAGTGGCGATGATGCAGTTGCTTGTGTTGAATTATTAGTTAAATTCAAACCAAGAAATTGATTATCTTTAAAGGATGTATAATATTTAAAAAAATTTCTGTTGCTATGATATAAATAAATTAAAATGTTTATTATGTTTGTATAATGAATTTATAATTTTACATTTACCAAGCGAAGTAATAATGGATTATGTTACACGCATAATTTTTATTTTTAAAGATTTATTCTATACTGTTCAAATGGTAATCTAGTATTGTTTTTAAGAAATGTACTAATTTGCTTCTATAATAGGAGCTAGGTATATAGGTTAAACCTCATACATTTGAATCCTCATTACTATCCCTCTATTATAGCACCCCTCCAATATGAAAGTTGCCTATTTCAGTTGAACCAAATTAACTTGTGTTGATATTCTTATATACTGTACAGAAACGTCCTTTACAATCACTCAATCCAATTTTTCATACGAGTATTAATACTCTATAAAAAATTTATTCCGAGTTTTTGTATTCCATGTTATTTCCGTAAATGTAACATATTTACGGAGTTTTTTTACAGAAATTACGGATAAAATTTTTTTTCAGGGATAATATTAAATTTTTGATATTACATATTCTCTCAATCAATTATTGCGCGTGATTTATCTTTAATGCATACAATTTAAATGCGTGATTTAGACAGGACCAAAAAATGTACAGTATAGGTAGGGTAGATCATTATTGCGCCGCCAATCCATATGGAGGGCTAGATTTTGTGATTCGAATAATTTAAACAAAGACGCTAAATTATTTAAGGTTAAATTTATTTCTAACTTATTTATTATATGTGGCATTTCAAATTGAAAATGTATATGTGAATAAAATGATTAACTTGAGAATATTATTCAGTCACAGCCCCTTACTCCTTGACGATCTTATTTACATTTAAACAGATTCACGTGTCGTTCTGATAGGACTTATATAAATCAATTTGAAGGTCACTAAACAATATAAATATCCCTGAAAAAAATTACCAAAAAAAAAGAGGGAAGAAAAGATGGTTTTTAAACCACTTAAGAATTTTGAAATCAATGATTATGTTTTATCTTTGTTAAGTACAATATTAATGACGTACGTAGTACATTATTATTACAAATATTTTACTCGTGTTAATCCTTTACCCGGCCCATTTCCATTCCCATTAATTGGCAATTTGCCTCAAATTTATTGGTGGTTTAAAGGAGATTTCCAAAAGTTTTATGATTATTGTTACAGACAATATGGTGACATATATGAGATTCATGATAATTTACGATTTATAGTTTTATGTCGAGCAGAATATCTCGAAAATTTTTTCTCGTTTTGTAGAACAAGTGCGCATTGGATGAGATATCCCAGTGGATCAGAAGAATTAGGAATTATTAACAAAGGAATATTGTTTAATAATAATTATAAATCGTGGGTACATAGCCGTCATTTTATATCACAAGCTATTCTGTCACCGAAATTTTCTGATGAAACTATTAATTGGACAAACAAACTTTTCAATGAATTAGAGAATTATTGGAATAAATTATTTCTTAAAGAAGAAATTATTAAAGAAAATAAAGTTCAATTGGATTTTTCCAAATGGTTCGATCATTACACAAATGATATGATTATTAGCTTGTTAATAGGCGAAATATCTTATTCAATGGCAGCTTATTTTGATACACTTAGTGGTGATAGTGATGAAAAATCTGATTATCAATTAGCAATATTTAATGATTCTGCGAAATTAGTTCAAGCAATTCGTAAACATCTTGCGGAATATTATAAATTATTCTCCGTTCCTTCTTTCTTACGAAAATATATTCCATTTTTTAAAAATAAAACAAATGATATGCTTCATAACATGGGATTTATTAACCAAAGACTGAGTGTAATTATTAAGAGACGTAGACAAGAAATTGATAATACACCATTGGATGAACCCTTACCGTATGATATGTTGACATCGATGATTATCAAAAATACACCTCGTGATGGTGATTATTTCGAAACTGGTGAATCCATGAGATCTATGACTGATAGTGAAATTCGCGCTAATTTACTTGATGGAATTATTACTGGAACTCATAAAGTAAGTAAAATTCTTTAATGTTTTTGGGTTAAATCATCGAAAATTAACATAAATGTGATGTGAAACTTTAACTTGAAATTACATTAACTATTCCCTATTTTACTTTTAGTCTGCAAATTTGCTTTCGTTCATTATCTATTATATTGCTCATAATCCAGATGTTAAAAAGAAAATGTTGGAAGAAATTGATAGTATATTTCAAGGTGATAAAATTCGACCAATCACTAAAGATGATTTTTATAATTTAAATTACTGTGAAGCGATTGTAAATGAAGCAGCTCGCATTTTTCCAGTAGTACACTCCTTTACAAGATGTATTGATAAGTCCGATGAAATAGCAGGACGTCAATGGTTAGCTGGTACAACGGTTCTAATTAATGTTAAAGCTATTCATAATTATGAAGGTTATTGGGAAAAACCTAATAAATTTAACCCTGATAGATGGATGAATGAAAATTTTAAGCCAAAGAAGAATTCTTATATCGCATTTGGTGGAGGATTAAGATCATGTCCAGGAAGAAAGTTGGCAATAGTCGAATTAGTTTGTTTGATAGCTTTATTATTTAGGAGATACGAAATTGATTTAATAGATATGGATTCTCCTATTAAAGTTATAAGTGACAATATTGCAGTTACTTGTGTCGAATTATTAGTCGAAATCAAACTAAGAAATTGATTTTCTTATTTATCGAACTTTTAGTTGAAATCAAAACCAAGAAATTGATTTTCTTATATTGTATCGAATTAAAAATTGAAGAATGTACTATATTTTAAATATTTTTTATTTTTATTACTATGTAAATAATAATTTATTCAATTTTACTTTTAATCACGTTTTTTATATTTTTATTTTGAGATTTTTATTTCTATATTGTTCAAATGGTACCAATGATGAAATTTCAAGAACGACATGGTTGAGACTAGTATTGTTTTAAGAAAAATGATACTCTATAGTATAATGTCAATATATCAAACTATATGGTATTTTAATAATTTGCAAAAATACATATAAGGGAAAAAATGGACAAGACGGTTCTATACTTTCTTACCTTTGAATGAAACAGTTTATTTTGCTTTTTATTTGTAAGAATCATGAGCACTTGTCTATTTTTAATAACTCACAATGGCAAAATTTTTTTACAATATTACGATTTTCACTGTGAACCAATATTTGTTGTATGTGATGGTGAGAACATGGGAGGTAATGTTGAAAGAGTTCTCGGACATATTGCATGATTATTGGATGAGGCAGCTCTTGACGTAGTCAAGGAGAGAGGAATAAAAGGGAGAGATCATCGAGCAATCCTGCAGAAAAATCAGGCTAGATTTTTAGGAATGGATAGGGTTTAGGATAAAAATTAATCATGTATCATGAGCAGTGTCCGATTTTGTATTTATTTGACAAATAAAAAAAAATAAAGTGCGCGGTTCTTTTAATAAATGCGTATTACTTATAGATAATTTCTTTCATTGTAGCATAGTTTCGGATATTATACAGTAAAATCGGCGTACGTAATATTTTTTTTCTTTTACACATATAATATACAGGTTGTTCCTGAAGTTTCTGAAATTTTTTAGTAAGGCCAATTTCGACCTCTCCATCGTATTGATCATGATCTAGCTTCAGCATTATGAGTAAAGATCCTTCATCATAAGGAAGTACCAGATTCAAATCAAAGAAACACATGCACGCCAAAGTGATGAGACCAGGTACTCATATCTGGGCACTCTTCTTCCTCATTCATTTTCTTACTATGGGGTCCAGATTCTTTTTTATAATTGGGCCTCTTCTTTCTTTTTTTTTCTTTTCCTTTTCCTTTTTCTTCTTTTTTTTTCTCTTCCTTTTTCCATGTACTGGTGCTCTAGACACGCCTTTAAAGCTTGCATTTTACCTTGCTTGCTGGAACTACTTTTTCGTAGATAGCCACATTTTTAGGTTCATTTGGTTCATTTGATTTATCTACAAGAGAGAGTACAAGATCAGAACCTGCATGTTGCGGCGGTTGGATAGCATGATTATGGTACTTGGTTGATTTGTATATGTCATTAACGTAATCATACAGTGAAACAGCTTTTGATAGATTTGTCTCCGTGACAAACTGCATTCCGGGCGTGATCCATTCTGGAAACTCGAAATGTTTATCGGTCCACTTTTTGAGTTCGTTACAACCGTGCTTCTCAATAATTGCTGATGCAAAAGCACCATCAAGTTCGCTACCAAATGACTGAGAGCTCCCAAGACGTTTTAAAATGTGTTCAACATAAGTATCTTTCGGGTTGTACGGATCCCGTATCTGTCAAAGTTAATTTGTAATCTAAACACATATATTTTCCAATAGCTATAATATTGTAAGATTCTACGTAGTTCAGCACCAGCCGATTCTGAATATTTATAATTCGGCAACAAAGAACATCAACAATCGCATCCATTGGGTTGACTCCTCCGATTGCCAAAGTACTGGCGGTATTGCGCAAATAAAATACCATTGTATCAGTTATTTCATCGAACCATTCCTTACTAGTTTAACAATTTCATCATCTTTTAGCGGTTCTGATCGGTCGGGTAGCATTTTTATAAATGACGCACAGTTGCAGGGTCGTCCCTTGAGAATATTTCCTAAATAAGAAAGAGTTTCAGAACTAATCTCCATCCATATTGATTATAGTGTTCAGGGAGAGATAAGGGAGTTTCAACACAAGATTCACATTTCGTCATTTCGAGATGAATCAAAATATTCCAACACTTGTGACTAGGGATAGTCCGCCTGACATATGCATAGTAGTGCCAGAAATAATGTGTGTAACTTCAAAATTGAATCTGATCATGTGATAAGTATAGGCCTGCAAAAGATGCCATGGTTTGTTTTCCCTACTTCCAGTGTATTTTCCGAATTCAAGTCGACAAAGACATTGCGCCTCATCTTGGATAAAGAGGATCCGTCTAATATGTCTAATATTAAGACATTTATTGATGAAACGTATAAGTGGCGAAAATTCTTCTGCGCTTAGTTTTGACAGGTTTTCGCGAATAAGGTTTAAACTATCTAAATCCAAACCATGAAGTTGTGCTAATAGCCATTCCTTATTCTTTTCTCTATATCATTTTGATTAGTATTAATGCACGTGAAACGAATGCTATGTCGAGCTTGCGAAGTGCCGACTCCTGGAGTGCGATATTATCTGAAGGTGGATTTGCCGCTCTAATTGCACTGAGTTCACGAGACAATTGATTATTATAATCTGAAATAACATGGGAACAGTCCACAGTCCACATGTATTCCCCAATGTTCTGCAGCAATGGCGAATATGGTTGACGTTTTCCCCGGTGATTGGTTCTATGTAATGTTTTTTTGGGTAGTAGCTTATGATAAGAAACAGAAAGAGATCACAAGTATTAACAAATATGATACAGTGTAGACAGAAAAAAAATTGAATGACAATAAATATTCTACGAATTTCTTGTTCGAGAGGTAAAACATTGAGAGACACTTACCAATAGCGGGTACTTGTACGATGACGTGAATGTTCCTCTTCCTGAACATGTGGTTAGGTCTCAACTCGGTACTGTTACGGTTATATCAGTAATTAAGAGTCGTCAGGTATTATGTAACAGTACCAGCAATATTATCTTTATCAAATTCTTTAAGCCTGTCCTCTTCACTTCAGCGATGCCAACCTTCCAAAGACTCATAATGTTAGGATCATAGATTCCTAACGTTTCTTTTTTCCTATTCCAAATAAGCTTGAGGTCTGAAAATCTTTAAATCATCAATTTTGACATCAACACCATTAATCTCGTTAACATCAGCAACGTTAACCGTAAAAGTATCACCAAAAGAAGTCTTTCCTACAGTAGGAGTAAACAATTTAGTGACACCATCATTTGGGTGTAAAGCGATAAAAAAATTTTTAGAGAAAGAAGTTTTGAGAAAGTTTGAGGATAATATATATGCTTGTAAAAACCTTTCCGAATTCATCATGATTAATAATAAAATAGACTTTTGATCAGTGGCTCATAGTGACGATATAGATACTTCGAAAAAAATAATTTAATTTATGCGAAAGAAATGATTAATATGATGAGTATTCATCATGAGCATTTATCGAGTATTTATCATTAAAAAAAGTGAATTACTGTTACGCAATTTTTAGGTCGTACGTTGACCGTATTTGAGAAATGTAACTTAAGGCTACTTGCCTATTTCATATCAGAATTTTTTTTTTTTATGGAAAGAATCAATACTAATTGTAAGTCCTTGTGCGCGTGTCCGGGGGAGGTTCATCCCGATCCCGTGCACTTCCCTTTTTCCGACCAAGGGACATCACCCTGATTCCGAGTTTTGGTTATCAGTCTTCATAGTTACTTTAGACTTTAGTTTATAGGGGTCCTTGTAATTTTTACAATAACTCGGTTCGCTTTGTGATTTAAAAATAAAAATAAAAAAATTTTAGCATGGAGTGGGTTGTGAATTGTGTGAAACGTGTGCTATTATTTTGTTCTTTATCTATTATTGTAACTTGATAAATAAATGCGCCGTAATAAAATTGATCATTACGACCTATGATGGAAAAAAAAATATAAGTACCAAACACGATCTGATTCAACCCTTTTAAACCTTTCCATGATAAATTTGATGTAATTTTTCTTTTTTATAAATTAAAGAAATATTTTTTTTTTTTAAAAAAAAGAAATTTATTTTTATTTGTATAATAATTAATAATTAATTAATAAATTTTAAAAAATTAATATACGATTGAAAAGAAAAAAATTAAACCTGGAATGTCTCATTTTGAATTTTGAATTGACTATGAATTTTTTTATAGGTAATTTTTATATTTTTTCTTTTTTACGAGGAAATTTAGGAAAAAACTTTTTGGATTTGATAAAATTATTAATTTAATGTAATATACAAAATATACAAAATATTTTCAAATTAAAGAAATGGATAAAAAAATGAAAAAAAAGAATGAACTAAATGTTAATAATATTTAAAAGAAATTTTTTTTTTTACTATTTAAAATAAAAGACTTACTAGATCAATCTATATTGTTAATATACCGTCATATGAGTATTATTATCTGTATTAAAATTATATGTTGTGTTATTTGTATTATGACCTGACGACCTGACGTCCTGACGTCCTGACCTATGGAAAATCATATAGAAATCATATGAATATAATGTCAATTTCTATTTAGTGTTAGTAGTGTTAGTGACCTTACGTTAGCGTCAAACTCCGTCAAAAATTTGACAGCCGGACTTTATCGGGTTATCAAGAACTTTATAATTGATAAGATACAAAATATTTAAAAAATATAAAAAATATTTAAAATTTTTAATCATAAATTCATAAATAAAGATTTCTCTTCTTTTATTTATTTTTAAAATAATTTTACTTCATTTTAGCTAATCTAGCCTGCTATCCTAACTCCCTACTCATTGTGATGTAAAAAAATATAAATATGAATAATAATATACAAAATAAAATAAAATAAAATATTATGAAATGTTATGAATAATAATGAATAATAGTTAATAATTGGGTTATTAAAATAAATTTTAACCCCACCCATCTTTATTAACTTTATTACTTTTTCAAACTAATTTGTGCCAATACAACAGATTGGAAATTTTTAATATTTTTTCTTGATAGAAAGTTTCAACATTTCTATGTCGGCCATCAGATCATCATCAATGGAATGTTGATACTTGGAAGGTTCATATTTGTCATTTAATCCGGAGATTAAATCTTGGTTTTGATCAAAATTATAATTTTGATTCTGATTACCGGTTGAAAAAATATTAGAGTTAACGTCATCAGGTCCTAATAAATCTATTGGTTCCATGGATACTCCATTGGATCCATTCCGATAATTAGTGGTGTTGTAGAATCCATTTTGGTTGTTGTTAAATCCATTTTGATTATTGTGGGTTGATCGGATCGTTCCTTCAGTAAAAGTAGCGGTTGGTGGCGTGGAAACTCTTCGGGTACCTTTAACTTTATGATTATTTCTAACGGCAATGTCACATAAGATATCATGCACAATCCAAGGGAATGATATCATATTTTCAGAATCATCATCACCTAATTCAGATGGATGGTATGATACATAATACCATGCATATGCTTTAGACTCCATCCTACTACGAATATCGGGTGTAATAATATTAGATCCCCCATTATAAAATTCTTGTTCAAACAATTTTTTATAATGTCGTTTGATTGGAATTAAGGCTTCCATCACTGATTTGGTTACATCGCGAGGTTTCTTTTTATCAACTTTTGTAATAGTATTCACGATGTATCCACTAGTTACTTCGATCTCAGTCATAATTCCAAATTGGTTCATTAATCCCCTTATGTTTGCATCGTACTCTCGTTTTAGCTTTCGCGCATCATCTAAAAATTCATCATATCCTTCAACATATAATCTTTCATCAAAATTTTCTATATTTAAATTAGTTTGTGGGGTATACTCTTCCGATACATTAATAGAACGATATAAGATACCAAGAACTTTTTGAGATTCGTAGGATTGTCTATCAGCTTTTTCCATAAAGTCCGGGAATTTACTAGCACGAAGTTCAGGTGGAAATTCTGGTGGTCTTCCCGTTTTAGGGAAATCTACAGCATCGGAATGTAATTGTGCAAGCCGTTTACATTGCCCATGTAATGCACCAACTTCAAAAAAATCTGCTTTTGCCAGATGAGCGTTCGCAATCATCCCTAGTTTGTCGGAGAAGATATATTTTACGAAAAATGATTTGATATTTTCCATTGTTACATTTTCGACCATTCTTGGTTTTTGAGCCGTATTGTTCATAGGCTCATAAGCCTTAATAGGGATTAAACGCTCATCATATATTATAAAAAAAAAAAAAAAAAATTTATCAATAACTTTAACAACTTAAATACTTTTAAGTTTTAAACAATGAGAAATAAAGATACATACGTAAAATCATCACCATCTAAATCACCACCGCTACACTCGCTAGGAAGATCACGAGAACCAACTGCTGGGAATACTACTACATCTACTAAATGATTTAAAGCCTCACACTCCACAGCTGTAACTATACGTATATCTCCTGGATGAAAGCAAGGATTTCGAAATACTATACACCTTCCAGTTATTACCTTTCTACTGGATGGGTTACATGGATCAGATACGCAACAATAAATTTGATTCTCTTGTAAAGTTTCGGTGACATCCAAGACGCCTAATAAGAATGCCCCTTTATCAACACGAATTTTCGCCTTTTTCTTAATGTCTCTTAACATCATGATACGAAATAAAGAAATCAAATTCATCAAATATCGATCATTATTTCTTAAAAATCCCGCTTTGATAAGATCAGCAAGTGAGATTGAAATTCCATATTCATCAACATTCCTTTGTAAAACATCCAACGCCGTATGTTCACTTTCAAGCATTTTATCCAATTCCCTAACTCGTAAATCTTTTAATCCAATAAATACTTCATCAGGAATTCCTAATGCGGACAATAATGTAATGGCCTGACGATTGAGATATGCTGAGATGAACGTAGAACCTCTGATAACTTCCAACACATTATGATGTGATTCAAATTTATGTTGACTAGGACGAACTTGAACTTGATTTTCTTTAACATCAAGTGCCTGACATAAAACACCCTTATACCCAGCCATTCTAAATTGAAATGCACTTGGAATTGTTTTTAAATCCAATTCATAAGCAATCTTCTTTGCTATTGAAAAAGAGATATTTCCTACCCCATCAGAAAAAGTGAAACCATTTCTAACTATATCGGGAATTTCTTTAATGTCATCAATAGGTAGTTTTTGAATAGCACGAGTACTTGAAAAACACTGACCCATTCTGGCAGCATATTTTGCTACACTTTTATTTGTTGAAAAATTCCCCATCCAATCTCTAACTTTATTAGCAGTTAAATTACCAGTTGGCGAAAAAAACCAACAACTATGATCTCTTAATTGACTAGCAGAGAAAGCCAAGAATTCGTAGTGCCTATCACCAATAGTAATACCATGATGTAAAGTATAATAAACTCTATCATATAAAGCAAGATTTGAAGTATCATTAAAATCCCCATTAGATGAACTAACTTTACTCAAGGCCTCATCAACAAATTGAACACGTAAAAAATGATCTTTCTTATCACGAAAATAACGGATCACCCTATTAGAAGTTTCTATGGTTGGAGTTAAAATATAACTTGTAGTAGGAGTTACAACAATTTTACGCACCATACCACAATAATATGGTATATGTTTAGGTTTACTATCCATTTTATGTTTTGGATTATTCAATTCTGAACGTAAATAGTTTAAAGGATCATAAATTCTTTTCTTCCTTGAATAAATACCTTCCAAAATATCAATAGAGACTCTAGTAGGTTGTTTAGATAATAAAGAAAAGAATTCTTCACAAAGGTTATAATCATTAAGGTAATTAAAAGAAATATTACATTCGACCATATAATTAACTTCAAAGTTTAACATTGAACGGTTCACAAAAGGTTTACGTAATTCAACATCACCACCAACAATTTTTAATGGAACATTACTAATATTTGAAGTTCTAGGAGCCAAATTATATTCACTAGCCTTCTCAATTAATTCTTTAAAACGAACAAGACCTTCATTAGAATTTTTACCAATTTGATCCAAATCAAAAGTTATTCTAAAGACGAGCCATTTACCAGGTTGTTCATTATTTTTATGAAAATTAGGCATTTCATTAACATCTTTTGTATTAATTTCAATAATACGTTTCCAAGAATCTTCAATACACCAATTAAATTTATCTTTTGATTTTTGATTCTTATCTAATACCCAATATTTTGCGGGATATTTATTTTCTATAGTAATTGAACCACGAGATCTTCGTTGAGAAGCGTCAAGCTCAGAATAAATATCATTAAGTATATCCTTAAAATTGATTTCAAGTTTAAAGGTGTGGATCTCTTCATGAAATTCTTTAACACCAAATTCCACAATTATTTTTCGTTTTTGATAACTTATAGAAAATTTTACTGATTGAGTAAATTTAGCCTCAGATACAAATATACCAGGTAGTAAATAATCACCAAGTTCTAAACTTTCAGCAGGAAAGGAATGAAATTTTAACTTTTGTCTTCCATCAGTATAATCAGTGAAAGTATCAGAGCTATGAATAGATTTTTGATAATCGACCTGTAAAGGTCTTCCATGAAAGCGGACCGGATTATCCCAGAAAGGATAAGTGGGTACAGGTCTAATTAAATTAAATAAATATTTTTTAAATGAATGATAATTTAAAGGGATGAAAAAGAATAATAAAAAAAATAAAAAAAAACACGTACTTGAATATGATATAAGCAGTTCCAGTTGGACGTTCAGGATAGTCAGAGTCATCAGTTTCTTCGGTCACAATTTCTACTCTATAAACACTACCATAAGCAGCGAAAGCCTCCATTATATCAGTTACAGTAGCGTTAGTGTGAATATTACTAACTCTGAATTTTATTTCAGTAAAGGTTTTCCATTCACGAGGAGGTTTTCTTTTATCATTCCAATCACTTCTGTCACTTCTGTCACTCCTATCACTGTTGTCACTGGTATTTCCGCCACCATTATAACTGTTATAACTGTTATAACCATTATTACGATAACGACCATTACTATTATTACCACCATTGGAACCATTGTAACTATTACGATTATTATAAGAACCATTTGGAGAGGATCTTCTCGCGTTTTTATCCCCATTACTACCGTAATAATATCTTTGATTATTATAATTATCCATTATTTTAAAGAAAGAAGTAGGAAAGGAAAGAAATGGGGAAAAAAAACAAAAATTTTTTATAGGTTGATGATTTTTTAAACTAAACTAAACCTTATTAAATCTATAGTAGTTAAATACAAATTTGTTTCAATATTAAGGAATAAGGATTTACTTTTATTGTTTATCAATATAGAAATATCAATATAAGGTAAAAATGGACAAATAATTCGAAAATTCTTAAATTCGAAGATTACATAATTAAAAAGTTTGTAACCCTCCTATAATACGATAACAGATAATAATACGGTATTACTCGACTCTTAAATATAAAATTTACGAATCAAAAATTTGAGATTAAATTATATCGCAGGAAATTTTGAAATATTTATTATTTAATATCTTTTTTGGAATACAAACATATTATTGGTATTCTTTAAAAAATCTTTCTTCTATTTATAAAAAATAAGATTATTCACCCTGATTTACATTTTTAAACAAGGTTTCTTTTATATTCGAACAATAGAAACGAATTATTATAAATAAAATAATAATAATTAATAAATAATAAGAAATAATTTTATAATCATGTTTCATTTCTAATTATTTTCTAATTATTTCGCGCAAAAAAGAAATTTTCTCCTTTTATTGGTGTCGCGCGTTTTTATTTACAAAAATTAACTAAATTATCAATGATTTGCGTTTAATTAATAATCAAAATTACGGAAATAGCATAACACCCGTACTATGATGAAATTTAAAAAAGGAAAATTTTTTGTTTCCAAAAAAAAAAAAAAAAAAAATTNAGTCCAAAAGTTGATTTAGTATGTTTGGTGCGTTCATTCTACTTAATGCTTCACAGACCATCGTTGACTGGAGTTCCCTTTAATAAAAATGATTATGATGATATCAGTATACAAGCACAATATATTTTAAATTTTTGGAAAGATTGTGGAAAATCAGATATATGGAGAAATATTTATAGTGCAATTGATGATTTAGACTATAATAGATTAATTCAAGAGCTTGAAAAGTTATTTTAGATAGCTGTATTATTTTTATATTTCTTCTAATGGCTTGATGTAAACAAAAAATTAAATGTAAAACATCGCTAATAAATATTATCAAATAAAAATTAATAAAAAAAAATCAAAAAAAAAAAATAAAATAAATAAATAAATAAATTAATTAATTTTAATTTTTTTCTTTTTAATGACCTTTTCATCATAATTTTTTTTATTTTTTATCATCACTGTCTTTACATTTATTATTATCGGAACGTTGTATATTTAAAATTTTTTCTTTAAACAAGTAAATTCTTTAACCATTAAGATAAAAAAATAAAAAATTATTAATGATTTTCGGAACTAGGTATTTAATCACCTACGTGGCACAATTTTTTTACCCGCGTCAATCCGTTACCCGCTCATTTTTATTTATTATCAAATAATTTGCCTCAAAAATTCGGTTTCAGTAACTTCCGAATTCAGCCATGTACCGTCTCTCGGATCTCTACCAGGAATTCCTACATCGATCCAAGACATGAAGAATATTATTTGAATTCTGAGATGGGCTTATTATCTAAATATTGTATATAAAATTTATGTTATATAATTCTATCGTAAACATTTTATAAGCTATTTTTATTATTAAGCATTATAAGTATATGTATTTTTTTTAAATTGAATTTTCTAATCAATAAGCTATTTTTATAAGTTTTTTTTAAATCAATAATCAATTTTCGTATATAAGCTAAACAATTTTCGTATTCTTATTTTTGAAATAAAATAATTTATTTTATTACATAATTGTTATAATTGTTGAAATATCCTGTTATTATATACCATCTCCAGATCATGAAAAAAAAGATTTTAGTAAAATGGATTATCCGATGGATATTCATATTATCACGTGCTATAATGATTGATCATCGGTTGTTTTATCAGGAAATAGTTTGAAATAGGCGCAGATTTGTCTGCCCTTGCTGCCTTGCCATAAAGAACGTCCCGTAAACGGCGTAAACAGGTTAATATTTCCAAATAGCGCGCTTAAAATACGTCATATTGACCTTTTTACCTTCTCGAATTTTCTATTCTTTGCAACTAGAAGGTGTAATTGAGGTAAATTCACTCTAGATAGTATGGGCTGTGGGAAACAAATTAAATTATCCAACGCCTGATATTAATGACGCTAAAAATGGTAAGAAAATTCTTTCTCCTATCACATCTTTAAAAGAAAAGTACCTATTTTATAAATACTTGTAAAAAATATTACATACTATTTTGGAATTAACGACTGTTTTTCATTCATAGGTCATATTGAAACATTTTACTCGTTAATTCAAGTTTTTCGGCGTTCCTTCTAAGGTAGGTTTGCGGTTATAATCACAAGAACTATGGTGATATATAATATTAATTTGTAACTTTTCAAATGGGATATATGGGAAAACTCTAGATGCTTTCGACAAAAAAAAAATAGCTCATTTCTTTCCAAACGGTAAGATATTAGAAGAATTGGGATGTGTGTGATTTTAAATTGTGGAAATATAATTGTCAATTTTAACATTTTGTCACCGAAATTTACCCATCAGGTATTGATGAAATTGCATAATGGAATGTTAAAAAAGAACTCACCAAGAAAATACAAATAGATTTATGACATAATGATATAAACGATGGTATTATCATCAGTGATAGAAAAGCTGAACATCCATCAGCATCAGGAATAGTTGTTTATTCTGTAAGTAATTCGTAGTTTTTTTTCTTGCGATATTATGCTAGTCAGCTGATTTAATTCAATACTTGAAATTTATTAATCAAAATAATGTTCTTCTGGCTCAATTTTAGGTGCTTCTATACTGATGATATGATGGGCAACTTCTGCCATTCGGTCATAACTTCAAGAACATCACCCTTCCAATTGATAATCATATTATTATTATAATCTATAATGGCCTTAGTCTTAATAATTGATACATTCTTTAAGGAACGTAAAGAAGAAATTAAAAACACACATTAGATAGCCTTTGCCTTATCTGTTATGATATGTTGATATCGGCCATTACTGTAAATACACCTACGTGTGTTAATCAATGATAGTTGAACTTAACGTTTTATTACCCATAGTTCAATGATATTTATTACACGTAAATGGGTTATTTAATTAGAATCTAAAGTTTATTTTTTATAAGATAGGAATCATATTATCAATTATATTTAACATATTTTAAAGACTATCATAAGATTAATTTTAACAATCATTACTAGTCTTTTGATTTATTAGAATAAATGATTATACTGTAATTTATATATCCTATTTTTGTTGATATTTATTTCTTTCATTATTAGCAACTTTTTTTTATATTATTACCCATTATTAATGAAAGACATGTCTGATAGGAATAATTGCTAGAACTAATTCAGCCATTTCAGTGAGTAAAATTTTTTTAACGTTAACGTTTTCCTTACCTTCTTACCTTTGATGGAAAGTGATTACTATTATCTTGCAAATAATCCAGATATGAAAAGGATATTTCAGGGCGTCCCATTACAATTGATTTCTTTACGAAACGATTGTATGTGAAGTCGCTCGTATTACCTGCAAATGCGTTTGAAGACTTGATGAAGTAATAGGACATCAATGACTAGCTCTGATGCGCGAAAATTGTTGGGAGAATCCTAATAAATATAACGGGTGGGTGAAATTTTTGAACAAAGAAACTTTTATTTATAATTAATTGTTGAGTATCAAGAAGAAAGTCAGGCAATGATTATGTGGGAATTGATTTATTAGATATGAAAGCTCTCTTGAAAACTTGTTAACTACTTATTAAAGACATTTAAAGATATGCAATATTTTAGCGATAGGATTTTTTTTTTTATTTGATGATTATATAATTATATTATATATTTTAATAATTCAAATTCAAACATAACGTTTTATATATATATATATATAATATTTATATATTTATTATCAAATAAATATTTATTACAAAATAAAATTCATCTCATCTCTAATGAACTTAATTATAAACAGGTTATGCCTATCATATTATATGCCAATCTTATTTTAGTTGAGCGGCAGAAGTGGAAGAACCAAAATTTGAGACTCTGGCTTTATTTATTTATTTGTTATTTGTTTGTTAGATCTTTTTTTGATCAAGTATTTTCCTTGAAATTGAATTGATATATAAATATTCACTTGCATAATTTTTGTACGACAATCGATTTTTACTAAAATTAGAAAAAAAAAGAAAAAACTATATAATTATTCTTTCTTTATATCTGAAATTTTTTTTTTTTTTTATTTTATTTTACTTTTATTTCTCTCTATTTTCTTAATTTTTTTCTTGACATGAATCCAAAAATATAAAATTACACAATCAAAATACCGTTATTGAAATTGAAAATATCTCATATCCTTTATTATAATAATTCTAAAATTTCGAGTAATCGAGAATGAATGATCATAAATTATCTTACTACAATTGTACTACTGTATAGTACTGTATAGTACTGTATAGTGTGTACATTGATCCTTAACTTTAACCATTACTCACTCTTATCTTTGATAAATATGAATATGAAAATTTGATTTTGTTTAATAATTATAAAAATTTTACGAAAATAATAAATTCTCTACAACAATTACACCACATTTTTATACAGATTTAAGTTGATATCCTATTGAAAATGAATAAAAAAAAAAATATTAGTCATTTATCATAACTGATAACAACTATGATAACGTCCTATGATAGCTTCCACTGGATGATCTCCTCATCTCATAAGTGTAACCTCGCCATCTGTGTTCTGCCCCGTGCAGATTAAACACCAGCAAAGAATTACCACCATGTACCACACTTTCGTGCGGGTCGATGGGGCCTAACATGGTACTTCAATGCCCCAGAATATACATGGCACAAGGTGAACCATATCAGTAGATATTATTATAGGCACAACCTAAGTATGTTGTTCTACCAAGATTAACAAGTTAAACAAGACAGACAGTGCATACCTCTTGTTAGAACCACGTCGAAGCCGTTTATCGTAAAAACTTTCTTATCGATGCATTCGCAAAGAGTTACCGATGATCTCGTGTATAACTTCACCATTTGTGTTCTGCCGATAAAGAAGTCGTTAACTTTCAACAAGAACTTATGATTATTTTTTGAGAAAGCTAAACGTTAAAGAAAAAAAAGGATATACTGTACATATGTAATTATAATTTTTACAACACGGTTGGAAGGTATGTAAATTTTGTTGGTTGCTTGTTATAACAACATACAGCAATAGATACTTTAAAAAATTTTATTCCAATACCGGCTTTTGATTTCTTTTTATTGTTATTTCAACTTTACATTTTTAATTATCATGAAAAAGTTGAGGTACCTGATAGTCGAACAGTTTGACCTTATAGTCTTTAAAAAAAAAAAAGGTTGAGGAAAAGAGTGGATCAAAAAAATGATCTATTTCTGAGAGACGATATTATATCTGATATTTAAATTGTGTACTAACTTTAAATAGCTGATTTTAAAAAAAAACTCGGAATTTATACAAACTTAAGACTTAAGGAGAAGTATGACTAATTTCACATCAGTGTATCATTTAATCATGTCAGAATACCAAAAATAGATGCTTTTCATGATTTATCGTATATTGATATGATTTATAAAATGATCTTAAAAACCACTACTGAAACAAGTTTTCTATTATTTTATTCGTTTTATAAAAAATATAGAAAGGTTTTACACCGTTCTATAAAAATGATATTGCTGAGGGAATGTTGAATTGCACTACCCACCGAACTAGGTGGTCCGACGGTAGAGTTCAAATATTTTGGAACAAAATTTTGACACTGTTTCGTTCTTTTTATTTGCGTCCAAAAAAATTAAGAAAAAATATTATTCAAATAACCTCAAAAGAGTTTTTAGCTTCAAACAGTCCTAACACCTTTTATTATATAAAATCTTTATTTGATTTCCATAGTATTACGTACCCTTAAAGATAAACCTAAAACCTAACGCTATCAAAAATAGAATAACTTCAAACACTAATAATAATCGGAAACTACAACGTATTATCATTTTTTCTTACTACCTTAGATTTGTAGTTACGATCATCGATGCACCCTATCTTCCGCTTACATCATGTTTAATAATTGTTGGGAGATGCAAAGAACACGATCTCGATAGCAATTTCGCCCATTAAGTTACTCATATCCTGCGGGATATATTATTTTGACCAAGTCTTACAAAAAGTCGAATACGAAGGGAAAAAATCTTTTATAAATTTGGTTATATCATCATCATCAGACGAAACAAATACAGTAGACATTTACGTCAACTTCGTATTGATCGCAAACTTTTTTATAAAGAATATTCGAATCTGAGATTCGACATCATGAGATCTCTTCACCAATATTGAGTCTCAAAAACTTATAACTTTGACGGCAGTAGCTTTGGGATCTTGGGTAGAAGAGATCTTGAGTAGTACAACCTTCAAATATTAAAGTTTATCAAACACATTACTCACGAAGGCTTAGAAACTGTCTTTCCCCCGGAACAATATAGAGATTTTCACGGTATTTGATCCAGGTGTTCGTAAAAAAATGCAACTGTAAACATCATCTAAAGTTTCTCGAACGTAGAGACCGATACGACATATCACAGAACACAATCAGGCACCACTTCTCATCGAAATTAAAATTAAACAAAATTAAAGAATGGACGAGCGATCTTAAAGACCAAATAAGCGAACTTAAAGGCCAAAACAACAGCCTTAAGGCGAAGATGAAAGACAACCGTTTGTAGTAGCCCCTACCATGTTCGAGGCAACGACAGGAGCAATCGCCTTACTTGGATACATAGGCTGGAATGTAGATGTAGACATAAATTTTATTCATAAAGAAACCTCGTACGTCCCGCGTATTGGGGAATATTAGATCTGACGAAAGAGAGTCTCAAAAACTCAGGTTTAAAGGATACGGATATACAAACATTGTCTCAGGATTTTCGAACAAATTCAAATAGTCTATTAATAATGTCCCAGACAGTATTTACATATGGCATCAGCATGATAAAAGAAAATACGTGTTATATTTAGTTTGCGTCTTTCTGGTAGGATGGCATAGACTTTTTAATCAGTTGCTTTAGTGGTTTTACATTAGTTATAGATTCTGTTTTACATTCGCTTAGTTTGAAAAAAAAATGGTCATGTTAGAAAAACTTCTAGGAGTGTTAATATTAGGCATTGTGAAAATATAAACGATAATTCCTCCACAGTACAGACTACAAATCCATATAGTTTTTTCAATGGCAACACCAGTACTAATACCCTACCACTAGCTCAATTTTAATGGATGATAAATTCTGCAATACAATTAATAAGAGAAAGAAGCTCTTTGCCTTCCATTGTATAGAAAATCATGATGACGCCCGTGACCACTTTTACTTTTACACTATAATACAATGGAGATCTTTACACGGTCAATAATAGCCGACCATAAAAATATGCGATCTAGAAACGATATACGACTTGGAGCACGAAATTAATATTAATAGATCACGTACGACGTCAGTAGCGACGTACCCATTACATTCACCACTATATTCTCCCGCACCTCCTCCACCTCCACCTTATTCACCACCTCTCTCATTCGTAATGGACATGATATACTACCGGCTAATAAGAATTGTTGAGTTTTAACAAACTGATTAGTTCTAACTAATAATCTAATTAGTGTTGATGAAGAAATGAAGAACATAAGGAAATATGTAAAATTTATTTATTAGCGCGAATAGAGAAATGATTTACCAGAAGCTGAAGTTTACTTTGGGAACATTAACTGAAAGAGAATTATTCTCAAGGAACACATGGAAAATTTTTTCATATAACGAAAATCTTTACACAGTTAACTGCGACTTCCCAGGTTCCTACGGATACAATATCGCGATATCAAGATGAAAATTTCCACTTATGAACAAATATGGTATTGATAATGTAAGGAGATAGTTGTTATTTCTAAATATCAGCAGCAGAGAAACAGTATTTGCCTTGGAGCTGTACATCTCGCCTCCATCTTATACCAACACACACTATAAAAATAATTATTTCGCCTTTGAGCAACTCCGTTCGAATGTTGTGGTGATTAACGTATACAACATATTCCCTTTAAATTCGTCAGTCTTCTACATCACCGTTATCTCCTGAAGAAAACATGGCAAAGAAATATCTTAAATATTGCAAATATACCTGAAAGTTTAAACATGGATATAATCGACTACTATCGAGATATACAGTACTTGAGATTGATTTTGTGATTAGTCCAGAAAAAATACGACACATCACCTTTGCCTAGTAAAGGAAGAGAAGAAAAGCTCGCTTGTTAAGGTTAGAGTTTTGTAATGCAAGTTGACATAAGTATATCTTAAGAACGCATTCTTATGATATTCCCTTCGTATGTGATGATGATGAAAATGATATCTATACCTTTATGCCCAATTACTAATAATATGGCTTTAATTATCCATCTACACCAAAATAACCAAATGTACATCAAGAATAAGCCAGAGACACATATGAAGATGACGAACCTACAGACCTTTCTTCTATATGAGTTGATTTCCTAATCACGTGACTGAACTTATATTTTATTTTAATATATATATCAAATTTTTATAGTATATTTCTTACCCGATTATTTTATACTTCGATTTTCTTTTTATTTCTTTTTTATATTTTCTCGATTTTCCTCAAAATAGAGATCATTTATATAGTCTTCTGTAAGGCAGTATTTGTGTACGATACTTTAGTGAAAGAATAATACGGTAGTTTGTATATAGATTTCCTATTACTTTTCTTATCCACTTCTATCTTCTACTGGTCACATCCTTTATTAACGTGAAGTTATTCTAGGGTAGTTCTTTTTATTGGTAGACGGTATTTCTAGGCTAGCGTATTTCAGTTTCAATTAATATTCTACTTCACGTGTCGATATACAGAGTAGTTTGTAGTGGGATTATGATCTACTTAGCTATAAAAATAGAAATAAAAATAAAATAATTATTATATGAAGCCGTGAAACCTATTACTGATATTGAAATTCGTGATATTTATTATACATTGGCGGGCTTATCAGTGGAACTGATACAACTGATACAGTAAGTAAATTTTTTTAATCAAATAATAGCTCTGATCTCCTCGGTTAGGTTCCAGGCCAAGTTCCACGGCTTTCTGGGCGGCATTTCGAAAGGTAAAACTTCGAAAAAAAATTCGTTTTTTTTTACTTTATTTTAACGAACGTTAACTAACGTTCGTTCTTATTTTGATATTAAATCAACATTCTATTTTTTTAGATTATATACAGCAGGTTAGTCTGTTTGCTTTAGCAAACCTATCACACTTATACTTTTCACACCTTGGGTCACGATCTCAAAATTTAGCACTTTTTTTCGCTTGTCCACCGATTTCTACTGCACCGCAAGTCACATGATACTTATGTAAAAAAAATAAATTCATGATTCACGGTTATTATCTGTTATGGGATTACATAATATTATGCTAATTTTTTTTTTTTTTTTTACCATGAAGATAGTGACGCACATCATTACATGATAAAAAAGAAGAATTCATCGATCCAATCACACACAAATTGTACTCAAACCCCCAAAGTATATCTAGTCTGGCGTTAAAACGACTATCACGTGATTATATAAATATTCATCTCACTCCTTCGTTTCGATAGTGTCAATCTATCAAACAACAAAATGTTTTGTAAACCACATTTGTTTCGCATGATTAATTTTACTTTTTTTTTATACTATTTTTTGAAGTACCTATATCGTTATAACAAGCCACTGATCAAGAAGAGTCTATTTTATTATTTAATCATATATCCAGAAAGGTTTATACTTTTATTTACTCACTCACTCATTTTGTAAATCTTATTATCCAAAAACTAAGGCTTTGCAATACACATTAATCTGGGTAATTTTCGAGAGGATCCTTACATAGATAAGTTCTCAATTAAAATTAGTACTGGCACGAATATTAATCTTCTCAAAACAGCTGTTAGGGAGGATATTAAAGTTCCTGATCTAATGGTAAAGGATCTTAGGTAGATCTCCTCCTTGGAACTGTCAAAAATGAGAAAATCATTAATATATGTGTGTATAAATGACAAGAGGATTAAAGAACGAAAATAATTTACACATTATAATACGACTCCCTACTGGCAAGTCATGTCATAAAATCATATAATACCGAATCCTTAATCTTGTACTTTTCTTACTGCTTTTTATTATTAAACCTTTGCTTCCAGTTCCGTGGAGAATGTTGTAATTCGATAGGCTATATTCACAGAGATTTTTCTAGGACGTATCAGGTAGCTCTACCAGTGTGAGTACATTACTCTGTTAGTGAATGCAAACTCGGAAGTTATGAACAAAACTCAGAAGTTATGAAAAAGTATTGATTCGACTTGATAAAGAGGGAAATGCTGAGGTACTAGTTTTTCATATACAAGATTTGGCGCTTCCACTTCTGTTAATCCTATGTTTTTACATTCATCAGGTTCCAAAACACGCGCAAAAGCTTATCAGAACATCAAGTTTTGAAGAGCTGATATGGAGTACTATATTAGTAGGATAAAGCAAGGCGCATTCCTTGGTAATTTTGCTAATAATGGATCAGTTGAAAGATACCTGCGAGAACATTCCACACCAACGTCCACAGAAGAAGAAGTTCAAAATTGGTTCAATGGCCTGATGATGGAGCTTCCAAGCTTTAAAAGAAAAATTTTAGTGGAGAGTACACACAATGATCCATACCTTGATGGATTTAAACCGGGTTAAGCGTCTTTCTTGAAGATGATGCCAAAGATAGAACTCATATTCCCATGTTGGTGCAAACGCTTCTGGAAGTGAAAAAAAGAAAAAGCGAGAGTGGCTTACTGACAAAGATAAAGGTCAATTAATAGATTACATGACATCCTTATTCAACAACAGCCATTGCGTGAAAATTTCGCGTTATTTTTATCAGAGGGATCCAACTTTTATATAATGAGTTACTACACAGTATCCGTATAGAGAGTTAACGACCAATTTTAGGACTGGTTTGCGCCTTTTTGGATAATGCTCAATTTTGAATCAACTTATACAAAAATGTTGGACTTAGGAGCGTCAAATTTTATACATCACTTGGAAAGTTCATAAAAATACATCTGAAGTGGTGTTTAGGCATCTTCAACAGTATACAAACAAGATTGACTATAACGATATACCAGCTGCTTTAAAATATTCTCAACATCAAGACTTGCAACATGAAGCAGAAATTATACGATTTTTGAACGGGAGGAATATTCTAAACATCATCTAGCAAAACAAATAATTTTTTTATACTTTCTCTTAATCAACAAATTATTTTATTAAAAAAATTAAAAATAACTAAAACACAAGGAAGGAAAAGAATACAGGACACAGAAAGAGACGGAAGCAGAGGCAGAGGAAGGGGAAGAGGAAGAGGAAGAGGAGAATTAAACTACATCACGCATGATGCCAAGTCAATGATTATTTCACCAGTTTGTAAACGAATTAGAAATCAATTCTGGTCGCATCATGCTCTACAGCTCATTCACCTATTGAGGCGTATCATAATGTAAAGTTTATAAAACATTTTATTGGATACTGATAATGATTCACTTATCCTTGCTGACTGGGGAGCAGCAATCCGTAATCCTCCTGATGACCAGGTATCCTACGAAGGAACAATTTCATTTGCCTCACCGGACATTTTAAATAACAACCTGAACCAGTCTAAAGCAATCGATGATCTTCATTCCTTCGTACGATCAATGTACATTTTACATAATCGATTAAAGTTTCCAAAAATTAATCCTAATGATACTTTCGCATCAAAAGCTCAGGTTATCATTGAATTCTGGGATGACAGCGTGAATATTAAATTGGATGGTCCATTGTGGAAGGAGATGGTAAATGCAACGAACAATGGAAATTATGAAATACTGGAAAAATGTTATATTTTTAAATCATAATTATACATAGCTGATAGATGTAAGATAAAAAATAAAAATAAAAAATAAAATTGCAATTGCAACACGTTAGTATTATTAATGATCATGTGATTACAGTATAGCGATTCAGAAGTTTAACAGTTCCTGTTACCTAGTTATATTTCTAATTAACTATATATTTCTAATTAACTATATTATTATATTTAATAATTAACTAATTATCTAACTAATTACTGCATTTCTTAATAATATAGCAAATATAGAAGTACCCCAACAAAAGGTCAGATTGGAAATAAAAATAGTGTACCTATTCATTTATCATTAGCTTAGAAGGTCATTTTTTTGTCTGAAGCTAAACACATGTCTGGAAAGAATATCTTTTTTTTTGGATATATGGATCATCTTTAGCTTCTTCACACCATCTAGCCCATAATCCACTTTCATAAGTAGAAATATAGCTATATGACTCTATTGTTCGATCCTTGTGTATAAATTGTAGCACCTGACGCACTCTCTCCAAAAGTAGTAGTTCTCTAACTTTTGCTGTGCATACATAGCATGCCTTTATTTATAATGTGCTTTAGTATTTTCATTGATTGGATTTTAGTTTTCCGCTTTGTCTAAGTGGAGATACGTGATTTATACTGCTTCTCTAGGACAGTAGAGGTTTATGCTGGTTTTCCAATTTTTGCATAAATGTATAACTAAGTTATGATTCTTATATCCCCCCACTCCTCCAAACTGCTTCTCAAACCCGTTTAATTGGAATAAAGTACTGGATCTGCCTTGAGTACTGGTGGCTTATAGTACCTATTATCCTCCTTCGTAAGTAATTTCTCAAATATCGGGATGTATTCATGATAGTGGATAAGGCAGTTGGTCAAGCAGATGTGCATAGTGTGTGTTATATTGATTTGAAAAATTCCTGAGAGTGTGGAAATCCAAAAATTCTTGGAAGTACGTAATATTCAAGAAGTTCGGGTATTCCTCAAGTTCCTGACTCAAATTTCCTCTAAGAGTTTGGCCAAAGAAAATGCTAGGAGATTTCCTGGAAAATTTAAGGTGTATTCATAGTAGTAAGAATTTTTCCTGCCCCCACATATTTTTAATATCATGGTGTAGCTGACAAGTGACAACCTGTTTCTCATGCTCCTATCCAGATCTTGCAAAAAGTATCTCTATTATATTTAAGCAGCCATTCAAACAATATCTTTTCTCGTTCACTGATCGATCCCTATCATGCATCCTGTATCAATCCTCGCATGACAATTACTTACAGGACATCAATGAACCCTTTGCTACATTCTATAATAACTACGTTGAGGCTATTGACAATGCAATGACCAAGAATTTTGCATCATGTGCCTTGGGAGCACTACTTAAAGGTAAAGATGAGGATTTATTTTGAAGGACGTCAAAAAAGCGCTGATACTTTGGGCCTCAGAAGGAATGTTCTCTGACACATTAATTTTTTCTGTTATCTATAAGCTTCATGTTATAAAATAATTCTACCATTGTATTTATCTCACTGGCTTCGTTTTTTCAGACAATGAGTTGCGTTTCCGAGTTGTGAGATGTAACTATGGCTCATTTATTAGAGAAACAATATGCCTGATTGAAGCTCACTGTACAGAAAAAATTTGAATTTTGGAATTCCCAGAAGATTTGCCTTCTCGGGATTCTCATTTCATATGAAGCCAGAGAATAAATGTCTTCTCGTTTAAGAATTTTTTGTAAATAGATAATTTTTTCCTGGACACGAACGTAGTGAGTGGACAGGATTGAAGGATTATTTATTAACCTGTTACATCCTACCGGCCTACCGTGTACAAACCATGTTACAATCGTTGTATTATTAATAGCGCATAAGGAATAATGTATCACCCGTGCCTAGAATGCAATTAATGTTCAGTGATGATATTTATTCTGATGCATTACATATGCTCATACCATACATATATAAATTTTTATGCCCAAACTATGGGCGAAAATTTATTAATATTTATTTTTGAGAGCACAACGACAAAAAACTATATTACGGCCAAGAATTGCTACATAGGTTGTGACAAGCTGTCACAACGTTATATGACATGTGGCTGATAAACATTTTCTTATGAAACAAGCTTTGCCAATACATAATCAATATCATCCTGAGACATATCCGGTAGTGTTGATGCCGCGAAAGTCCGAAATTCACTAATTCACTTGATCTTATTAACCCCAATTCACTAAACAAATCATAAATCTTTTGGGGCGACTTACGGAGCTGACTGATTCGGGAATCTGATTCTTAACCTCATCATTAACTAAACCCTCTTTAAATCTATGATTGAAGAGATGAATAGAAGAATATCGTATAGAGAAAAGACAGGGATGGAAATAACGAAGAAACAACTTCTGGGCTGTTTTCATGCTAACATCAGCATCAACGACTTCTTTACACGGATTGAGGAAATCTATTGAGTTGTATTCGTCTTTTCATAAGTGAAAAGAGGACCAAATTGCAATGTTGATTCGCGATAGTTTTCAAAGTCGTATGACTCTGGTCGTTCCCCAAGGAAACGGTCTTAATAAGAAAAAAATTTGATCAAAGCTTGTATAATACAATAAATTAAACGCTATTACGACATATAAACATTTTTTATTATTCCGATACGCATCACATATCCACACCACCCGCATAACATACAGTATATTGTTAAAAACACAGGCTGAACAATAAATTTTTTCATTGAAATAAAAACAGGTATTTTCATTCCCACCAGCAAATTTTAAGTCTAAAACAATATAGAAAATAAGTAAATTGACAAATAAAATATCTATCCTAACGAGACTCTAATTTAATCAAAAAATATTAAAAAATCAAGATAAATTAGTTTTATGTTTTACTATCTTCTATGATTTTGGTTATCAGTTCTGGTCGTTTCCTTCTTCCTGTACTTTATGAACTCTCTCAAATGCACTGGTATTAACTCTACTATTGTGATGTTCAATGCCCTTTGGATCATTTATTCCAATTCATGTGTAAATTATTTAATATCATGTATTTATGCAAATTTTTTTAACGTATATATCTATTTGTGTAAATTTTACACAACTTTCTTCAGATACAAATTTTTTAAAATATTTTAACCTGTATTTTGATGCGCAGCTTATTTAAAATCATGTATTACGTGAATTTTTTAAAGTGTATAATACTGAAGCTACCTATTTATATAAATTTTACACAACTTTTTTAAATATAAATTTATTCAAAATATTTTAAGCTACATTTTCATGCGTAGAATATGCAAAATCATGTATTTTATGCAAATTTCTAAAGCGTATATTGTCCACTTTGTATAGAATTTATGAAACTTTTTAAGATACAAAATCAATGAAATATTTTTTTAAATTGTTTTTATGTGTAGATTACTTAAATCATATATTTAAGAAGTTATTTCAAGATATTAACTTTGAAATTACCTATTCATGAAAATTTTATGACACTTTTTAAGATACGCCTTATTAAATAACCATAAGTTATGCAAAATTGTATATTAATAGATTTTTACAAAGTATAAATTTCCATGGTTTACATATTTTCATATAACCTCCTGATGCTATAAAAATTATTAAAAATAATGAGTATAATTAAATCTCTTTACTAACGTTAATCTATTTATTACACCACTAAAAGATTTGTTGATCGATTTAAATATAAAAAAGGAAAGTCCGAATGTAAATCAATAAAAAATATATTACATAATTAAAAAATAATTAGCAAATCAGTACTAAATATAGAGGATCAGCCATCCGCTGGGCAAGACGCGACCATATAGTATTTTTCTTTTTTGTAAAAATTGTGGGATAGTGATTTTAAACTATCTTTAATAATAAAAGAAATAACTAAAACAATTGTAATTTATTATTATTATTGTATGGTTTTTTTTTAAAAATCTAAAATTTTTTTTCGTCATAAATTTAAGCTAAAATGATCATCAATTATTATACCATGAGATGTTTTATCAATATACAATTACTTTGCATAATCTTTATTAACTAAATTAAGCAATTAAAAAAAGTATATTATTCTCAAAATTCCAAACTAAAAAAAAAAATAGTATGAGTTCTTTTTTTAAAAAAATTTGTAATCCGATGCTTATTAATATTATAGAAAAATGATCAGCATAATCATGTATTTTATACGATTAAATATAAATCCTTTGCTATACTGACCATAAGATCAGATTAATTTTTCACTAAAAGAAAATGAATAAAAATAAATATTATTAAAAAATTTATGATATTTAAAAAATAAATGATTTTTTTATAGTCTTGTATAATTATCAATATTTGTTATAAATAATTAAAAGTACAATAGGATAGACTTTTTTTTTATTAAATATAAGCATAATTAGCATAATTATAATTGTATGAGATCTTTATTTTTAATTAGAATCATACTAAAATGATCAACATTAGTTATGAAAGATTTTTTCAATAATTTAAATTAAACAATTAAAAAAGAACACAATAAATAATTATTTCTTAAGAATTTTTTTAAAATTAATAATGAATAATTATCTAAGATTTTCTTCATTAAATAAAATAAAAGGTATAATTATAATTAATTCGAGATCTTTTTTTTTTGTTAGAAGTCACATGATCAACATACACAAATAATTATCAGTTTTTTATTAAATACAATTGCCCAAGACCTTTTTTTCGTACTAAAACGATCAACATACAATTTACGATTTTAAAATAATCTAAATCTATCTAATTAAAAAAATTTTGTCAAATTTAGATTACCCTGTATAAATAATTTGAATTGCGTAACATTGAAAAGTGAAGTCCTATCTATTTTAATATTTATCCATGTCATAATTAAGGAAATTTCTATGGTAAACAATCTTTAAACTAATGCATTTCCAGTTAATTAAATTTTAACGATTTTTTTTTTATTCTGATGGATTAATACTAACAAAATATACAGTAATTTTTCTTATTAATTGTATTTTATTTGCGGTCATTTCCGATATCTTAGTATCTTAGTTCACCACGACTAACCATTTCTAAAATATTATTTCAGTTTTTACCGTAATAACCGAAACTACCTTTTTTAGTCTTTTTTTTTATTAATTATTTTATTTCTCTTTTTTATTATTATTCTTTCTTTCAGTTAACCAAAATTTTTTCTTATTCCTTTTTTTTTTATTTTTATTGGATTCTTTTAGAGGATTTTTTTTTAATCAAAATTTTGGAATTTTTTTTAACTCAAAAAATATTGTTTTATTTCTTTTTGATTGGTTTAAGACTATAATCAGATTAGAACTATGTTATAAAGCTTTTTCGATGTAATTAAATCTATAACAAATTTTTTGATAAATCTATATAACTAAAAAATTTGTGGATTAGCCATGCCATATAATTAAAACCCGTGACATGCCTCTGGTCAAGAACTATTCGATCCATGTGAACTAAGTTAATGAAATTTTACCTGAACTTTTTTTTTTTGATTATTAATTTTTTTTTTTGTCCGATTTTTTTTTTAAAAAAAGAAAACGCTTTTTAAATTTTCATTTTTTTTCACACTGAAAATTTTTTTTTTTTTTATTAAATAATCAATCCTATTGTTTCGATCTTTTAAGAACTGATTTTTTTTATATTATTTTTTTTCAATTTTTTTTAGACCGTATTGTTATTTTATTTTATTTTTTTTTTGAACCAAATTATTGTCCTTTTTTTCAGAATTTTTTTCGGTACTTATTTTTTTTCGAATTCCTTTTTTTAAACCAATTTTTTTATTTAATTTTTTTTTCCTTTTCTTTCAATTTTTTATTATTATTAAATAAAGAAATAAAATATTATATTAAATATATTTACAAAATTATTATTTTTTTTAAAAAAATCAATATGACATGTAGGAAAATTGACCGACGTTGATAGAAAGATGATTAAGATTTTTTCAATTAAATTAAACGCTGGATAAATAGTTTTGATTTTCAAATTCATAAAAATTAAAAAAAATTGAAATTTTTACAAATATTTTATAATTAATTAATTGAAGAAATTGTTAATTTAATAATAGATTATTATAACCAAATCCATATCCGAAATTCTCTAAATATTGAAGTTTTTTCGAAAATACTTCTAAAAATCAATCAATTTTATTGATAATTATTTTTTTACAATTCCTTAATTAATCTGAATTTCATTCTACACTCAAATGTCAAATCATGCATTATTATAAATATAATTTATATCATTAATTCATATATTTTGTTATTTTTTGTTAACTAATTATTACCATATTAATAAACAAAAAACTACTATAACCATCTTTAATTTACTTAGTATTACATTATAATACTAAATTTTTTTATTTAAACAAACTTATTGGTCCCAGTGCGAAGCAACAGGTGACTGCTAGTCATTAAAAAAAAAATACAATATAATGATGATAAATAATTAAATTATATATTAAACAAAAATTTTCTGATTTAATATATATATCTAAACCATTTCATTTCATACCGCTTTAGAATTTTTTTTTTTTTAAGAAAGAAAAAAAAAATATGCCATCAGCAGTATCTGTATTATGTCAAGTCAAATCCATGATAAACTATATGATTTCACCAAAACATTCATTTTATAAATACAAAATTTGACATTTCTTAATACAATGTATAATATTATTCATAACAATAAATGTTCAGTTACAACTCCTGCTTCTAATTTCAAGTTATTATCTCACATTAAACAGTTTAGAACGCCCCGTCAGGGACTAAGGCAACTTGTTTAATTATTAAAATTAGTTGAAAATTCAAGTATATTTAACGCTATTTTTTTATACAAGATGAATTACCGTGTCTTTTTTGTGATCAGCCTTTACCTAATTTTCTACCAAAAAAATTACTTGAATATTTGAAGACATTACGGAGAAAAGGTATAAATAATCTTAGTTTCGTGAATTAGCATTATCCATTTATAATGAACTTGGACATCGGAAAGCAAGTACACCTATGATATTAATGGGACGAAGCGATGAATTGAGGGTAAATTTTAATTAATAATAGTTTCTTTTGTTTACCTATTGGTTTATCAGCTTCTTATATTTTACTAATTTTATAGCCTGGATATTACGGTCCAAAAGATGAAATAGCCATTGCAGCAATTTTAACAAAATTTTTTTTAAAAACAAATGCTTTAACATTTGAAAAAAGCAAGCCCCTAAAAGACAGTTGATTATTTGCATGAAGTACTAGGTTCCGGAAGCAATTATACGGTTAATAATAATTCAGGATTATAATGGAAAATTGTCATTAAAAGAAGCAAGAGATATTATGAAAAACAGTTCAGATTTTGGCGCATACATGTATAATGACTAAATATTCTTAATAAAAAAATTTTTTATTAGAAAATTATATAGTGTGTCAAGTAAAAAGTAAAAAAAATTTCTTTATACACTAAAAATTCAATTTAATAAAGCACCAAAAATTACAAAAATTACTTTGAAAAATACATATCGCGAAATTTGAGTTGAGATAAATGTTACGCTAAAATAATTGATTTCTGTCCAATCAAAATTCTGGTGGACGATAAGGATGCTCGAATTTTACATATATTTACTATAATATGGGACCGACGTTTGGTGTGATTATAAAAGGGGTATTTTATTATATAAAAAAATCTGGACTAAAAAAATGTGTGCCTTAAGGAGGGAGTTCTCATATAGGAGGTGCCTATAAAGGGGAGTTGGACTGTACTAAAAAAATTCTAACATAAACGGCTTGACTAAATTTACAAGCAATTTTCCCAAACATTCTTTTTTGCAATTAATACTGACAATGACGATTTAAAATGTTGAACAGATACCATTATAACAATGGCCAAAACTATGACAATCTACATCACTAGTGCAATTACAAAACCAGTGTGGATAAAATGTTTTCAAACATTTACTATTTCTTTCAGTATTGCAATTATCGTCACTATGACACCCAAAAATACATGTTCTATATTTTGCCCATTGCCTAGGATTATTTGAACAAACATATCCCGGATATTTCGAACAATCGGAATCAAGTTGACAGGAGGCACTATAAAATGGGTCTTTGCACTTGCATTGAGATGCCACGTAATCGAAATTAAGCGTAAGGAGAACAATAAAAATAATAATCAAAAAGAAATGATTCATTTTGTCAAAAAAATGTCAACAAATTCGCTTATTAAGAACAACTTGATGTTTATTTATAATGATTGAGAGTAGTAGTATAAGCTGGTCGTATGATTATATCCTAACATACGATCCATCTGAATCTATGAAAGCATTTTCCCATGGGTATTATAAATGGCTTATGAAATAACAAAAATTATGAATATTTAAGCAACTCGGCCCATATTCCCACAAAAGTGACGTTCTGAATCGGCTAAATTAGAAAGTCATAAGTTTTTCCGTGTGAAATTTGAGAGAGTAGTAGTATAAGCTGGTCGTATGATTAGATAGATCCTAACATACGATCCATCGATTAATATTACTTTCCTAATGCGCAATAGTTTATTTCTGAATCTATGAAAGAATTTTCCCATGGGTATTATAAATGGCTTATGAAATAACAAAAACTATGAATATTTAAGCAACTCGGCCACAAAAGTGACGTTCTGAATTGGCTAAATTAGAAAGTCTTAAGTTTTTTCGTGTGAAATTTGAGAAATGGTTTTATTCATGTGAAATTTACCTATCATTGTGACGAAATAAATCACGTGATTTCTTAAAGGAAACGTGATTATTAAAATTTTTATAATTGTTCCGCCACAATGCATGTAGGCATGTGCGACAGAATAAACTGTATAGGTGATATTCTGCAAATCATCTTGACCGTTTGTGGGCAAATCTTACCACACCACCCCTCGGATGCGCAAAAATTACCTTCTTGACCCGGTCAAAATATGCATGACAAAAATATTTTTTTCTTGACCTGAAATATGATAAAAAATTATGTGATAAGTAGCACAGTATTAGTGATAATTAATAGACATTTCCGAAACAATTTTTATTTTAAAAATTTTTTTTTTATTTTTTTTTTATTTTTGTTGTATATTGGAAAAAACCTATTTAACAGACTTTATTAATTTTATTAAACATTTAAAGGCTCTACTATTCTTTAAACATAATAGTAAAGTCTACTTTCTTCTAACTTGAGAAATTCAAAGTACTGGACGCAGTTATACTGCTATTATGAGATGTGGCAAATGAGCTAGAATTAAAAAGGTATGCAGGTGAAAGAGAATATGGGTTTTGATCAGGTGGACAATTGTTTGACGGTACCGTAGAATTTGAATAGTACGGTACGGTACTAGGAAATGAAATTGGTAAATTTGTAGGAGATAATATATAAGAAGAATCAATGGAGGTTTGTATTGATTGTAAAACGGATGGTAAAGGATGAATATAGTCATTTCGTGAATAAGATTGCATGATTGTTGATTGAGTGTCTTGAAGGGGTAATGTAGTTAAAGGTTCATATGGATTTTTGATATTTTTAACGTTTTCCTAAATTAAGTTTCATTAGAAAGAACCGTATTTGTAATTAATTACTTTAATAAATTTATAATACCTTTGCATCCCGAATATTTTTTCTAATTCTTTTTGTGCTTCTTGCTATATTAATAAACTACTAGAAATGAAACGTTAGAAACGTTTTTTTAAACTCAAACAAATAAGAAAAGTCCCTCTTCCTTATTTACCTTTAAAAGTCTGGCATGTACAAAAATCCCAGCATCCCTGGAAAAAAAAATAAAAATGAAACGTCAGAAAAGTTTCTTTAAAGTCAAACAAATAAAAAAAACCCTTCTCTTCCTGATTTACCTTTAAAGTCCGTATATACAAAAAATCTGGAAACCCTAGAAAAAAAAATAAAAAATGAAACGTTAGAAACGTTTCTTTAAAGTCAAACAAATAAAAAAAACCCACCTCCTTCTAATTTACCTTTAAAGTCCGGTATGTACAAGAAATCCAGAAACCTTAGAAAAAAAAAATAAGAAATAAACCGTCAGAAATATTTCTTTGAAACCAAATAAGAAAAAAAATATACTCACTATTCCAGTCCGTCGAAACCTAAAAAAAGAATAAAAAAAAAAGATTGTCTTGTGCCTTAATAAAATTTGTTTTTAAAATTTAATTGGTATTGTACCACATAGATTTTGGTAGTACATGTACTTTTCTACGACTTACGCTTTGGACAAATTAATTACAATCAGCCCTCGATATAACGAAGTAGGCGTCCAGGCTGATCGGGCCTTCATTATGAGAAAATTCGTTAATGCTATAACGAATTATTCGGTATAGAGGAAAAATTTGGTATAATGCAGTAAAAATGTAAAATAGAGGAAAATCAAAACATTTGTAGAACGGCATAAAAGTGGTAAAATTGCTTATTTGAGAAAAATTCCATAAAACCAGCATCAAACTGCCCTTTATATTAAAATTAATTTATAAGTTTTTCTTCTTTCAACGTTATACTGCATTTATTAGTAAATTCGGTGTAACAAATTTTTTTCATATGATAAAATGCGTATATTCATTATATTGTGAAATTCGTTATATTAAAATTCTCTATAGAAAGGCGGACTGTATTTATTTTAAAGTGTTTTAATATTTATATTTATATTTATTTGCTTGATTTAACATTTAAATTTATTTATTTAATCTAATATTAAATATATAATGTTTATAGTTTTTATCGATATGTTAAATAAATTATCACTTTCAAAAGTTGTGAATTATACTAATGAATAGTGATCAAAATAAGTTAATAATTAAATTCAAGATATATATTGTGAATGGAAGATCGGTACTTTATAAAATGTAATAAATTAAAATGATCGTATAGGCGCATGCGACAAAAATAAACACGTATTTGGTTCCCATTGTGGAGCAGTGTTTCCAGTATCATGCGATGCTTGCAGTGTTCATTTTTTACGGATTTAGATTTCATTTGCACTGTGATTGTGTAGCAGTTTTTCCAGTACCATGCGATGCTTACAGTGTTTATTTGTTTATAGATTTAGAAATCATCATATTGATTTCATTCATCGTTGAGGTATTCAGTTCGATTCTTAGTGTAAGTAAAAAAATAAATAAATAAAATGTAATTAATAGTGAGGTATTCAGTTCGACTCTTAGTGTAAGTAAAAAAAATATTAAAATTTAAAATGTAGAAAATATCAGAAAAATACACAAGTAAAGAAAAATTAGGAAAAAAATCAAGAGGAAAATTTTACTGTTTTAAAAGGTAATTACATTATTTTTTACTATTAAAAAAAAATCATTTTTAAAAATACACTATTTTATAACAATTTAAAAATTTCTCTAAATTTTTCATACTCATATATCGTCGTGAGTGGTGTAGATTTGCGTAGTTTTTTTCACATCGTGTATTATTTGTAGACCTACGCTTATTTTATCCTTCTGATGAGGATAATATCAGTATAATATCTTTAATTATTAAATATTAAATTTTTGTTAATATTAGTTTTATACTTATTGTTATTTTTTCTGATATTTTATTAAATATACAGTGTATAAAATACTCATGTAAGTAAATATAGTAGGTAGATAATAATTAAGAAAAATGTATTCTTTTATTTAAAATTTATTTATGATTTATGTCTTGCTTTTGAATTTTTTTTGAGGAAAATTTATAATTTTTTATTGTATGAAGCGATTGAAATACTAACGCAATCATATCGCTATAAGTTCCACAAATTAAACTAGGTGAATTACAATATAGAACGACTTCTTACAGCAAATTGTCGTACAGTATCTTTAACGTAACATTTTCGATCAAATTGTTCAATAATTTGAAAACATAAACGAGAAGAGTGCCGTTTGCTGAAACCTATCGATTTTGAAAAATATGGTAGAAACATTTTTAAAATATGATCACCATATTGCATACGTATTTCTGTTATAACTCGATAACAGCAATATGTTAAGCATATGTCAAAAATACAAAATAAAAATATGTCTAGAATATGTTAAACATCAATCAAAAATATAATGAAAATATGTAATAGGAATGTTTTTATTATATATCAAAAATATGTTGGAAATATAATAAATCAATTTATTAAAATAATCAAAAATTTATTTACATATATACAATATATAGCGCAAATGTTTCTCTCATCTATCAAAAAATTTAAAATACTATATAATTCTTAATAATATTATTATCATATCAATACCACATTATAATAAAATATAACATCGATTTATGCATTCCTACAATTGTGTATGAAAAATAAATATGGAATGTGATCAACAAATCACCGTAGTAATTCTTTAGATTTCTGTAAAATAAAAATAAAATAAAATATTATTAATAAAAAAAATTGCTAAATAAATTAAGTTTCTAAAATCAAAACTTACTATCCAATCCACCAAAGAACCAGAAATCCGTTTCCTATAAAAAAGAGAGGAAAAGTATATTAATATTTCCTTTAAAAAATTTAATTTTGAAATAATTTAATTTCAAAATTTCAAAACTCATCATCCAATCCATTCATAAATCGGAAATTCATCCTATAAATAAAAGAAAAAAAATGTTAATCAAAATTTTTTATCGTTTTAAAATTTTTTTCCCAAAAACTTACCTTCAACCTACTAATTTCACACAACCTGAACAACACAAAAACCAGTTATCATACTGAAAATCCTGATAATTAAGTCAAAGGAAAACTACAAAATAAAAGAAGATATTACTGTAATTAAACATCTTTTCACAAGGGTTCTGAAGACAGGAGTCCTAAAAAAGAAATAAAAAAGGTTAATAAAAACTTTTTTTAATTAATTTTCAATAATATTTTTTCGATACTCACTTGGGAATCTGGTGTCCACATCAGAGTTGATTTTCCTACAAAAATTAAACATGAATAAATTTAAAAAAACTACTTTTTGAGCTCCAGATTCTTTTTTAGAAACTTATCTGGGATTTGGTTTCTAATTCAGAGCCGATTTCCTACAAAAATGAAAAAAAAAGTTAAAAAACTTTTTTTTTAAAGTTTCAAATTTCTGTCTTTCAAAACTTACCTATCCTACACGTCCAGACTTGACTAAAAATATGAAAAACCAAGGCTGATTTCTCACTGAGATCCTATGTGTCCAGGCTGTCTAAAAAAAGAAAAAAAAAAGAAATTAATTATCATTTTTAGACGAAATAAAGAAATTTTAAAAAAAAGTAATATACTCACCAAAATCCCATGAAAAGTCGCCTAAAAGAGAAAAGAAACAAAATGTTAATAATTATTATATTAAAGAGATAGGCCAAAAACATTCCTTCTTACCAAAATCCTTGTCAAAGAATATCTAATTTACATCCGTCTAAAAAAAAAAGAAAAAAGTAGGGGAAAGGGAAGTACGAGAGAAAAATAAGGAGAAAATGAAAAGGGGGAAAGGGGGATTATAAAAGAGAGAGAAGGGGGGAGAATGAGAAAGGAAAGTTTACCGAAAAAAAGTTTATGCTGAAAAAAAGTTTAAACTTTTTTTTTAAACTTTAGACTTTTTTTAAAGTTTAAAAAAAATGATATTGTTGTTAATATTAAATCACGTGATATGCGTAATACTTAATTCAAATATAAAATATGGACCATTTTCTGATAAAAGATTTATTTGATATTTTTTTTTTAGTAGTAAAATGTAATACTTTATTAAAAAAAATAAAGTAAAACTGGAATTAGAAAATAATCCTTTTTTAATAGAAAAAATAACATGATAATATAACAATAATACATGGGAGTACAAAACTAAAAACAATAGAAGTGCGCGTCATCAGGAAATTTTTACAGGTGATATATAGCGATATATATCACTTTATCGATATAAAATACTGATAATTAACGAAATATGATAATTAACGAAATATGATAATTAACATTATTTATTTTTCAGATTATTGTCAATAAATATTACTAATGTTAAATATCTTATAGAATTCATCGATAAATATATATTTTTCCAGTTATTTATCAATGATAATCATAATACTTAATTATCGATTTATTTAGTACGATAAAATGTGATAATTATCGATAAAGTGATAATTATCGATATTTATACCTTAAAAAAATTAATCAATCATGTATAAATTTGCGTTATGTAACATAATATTATAATTTAAAAGTTACGAAGCTATTTAACAATCACGTGTATCATATCATGTGACACAACTTTTCGTTGATTATTTTTTTAAACCTTTTTTTTTAAAGTTTAATTAAACATTACTTTCGCCCTTTCCCATTCACATCCTTCTACTCTTCTTTTTCCTTCCCCCTCTCATCTGTCTTTCTTTCACACTTTCCCTTTTACCACTTCACCCTTTTTATGCTTTCCTTTTCTTTTTTTTTCATTTTCACATTTCGTTTCATTTCATTTTTTCCGTTTTTTTCATTGGCAGTTTGATCATTTTACCGTTAAAACTTAAGCTTTTTTTAGTTTAAGCTTAAATTTTTTTTCGTAAAATTTCCCTTTTTCCTTTTCTTTTTATTTTTTTTTTCCCTTCTCTTTCTTTCATTTTTTCCCTTTCCCCCTTTTTCGTTTTTTTCCCTTCCCTTTCTTTCCTTTTTTTCCCATATCCTTCTCTTTTTCGTCTTCCTTTCTCTTTGCTCTTTCTCTCTTTCTCCCTTTCCTTTTTTCTAGGTGTTCTTCGGTCTCTTTAGATGTGACATTCTGCCTTAGACTCGCCATTTTGGTATAAAGACTTGATTTTTTTTTTATTTTAATTTTTTTTATTAATTTTAACGAACTTTACTAATAGTTCTTTTTTTTTATTTTGTAGGTGGTCAGTTCTTTGGATTTTGAGGGGAGGGTATTAATATTTTTTTAAAAAAAATAACGAAACGATCATTAATGTTTTGTTATTTTCTTTTTTTTTATTTAAAGAAAATACCATATTTTACTTATGAACTTTCATTAAAAACATATCTACATCAAAATATTGAAAAACTCTATGGTAAAATCCTCCAAAGTTTTTTTTTCTGGTCTAAAATTTTTTACCAGTGATAGAGTTCTTAGTACTATACTTTTATTAGCGATGCAAACATTTGGATTTATTAGTATAAATAGACTTGAGGTTAGAGGTCATAAGCTATCCCACCAGCTGGCAAAGTGTATGAAATTTCTTTTAATTCATAAAGAAAGCCTTGCTAAAGTCATCTTTAGTGTAGGTCTAGTAATACATTGCCTTAATTGAAGCGAGGCTACGAAGTTTATAATTCCTAAATGTATAAAAGTTGTCTCTTATACACATCTAGATGTGTATAAGAGACAGNCTTCTATATCGTTGAGTTGAAGTGAAAGGATAAAAAGGATAAAATCTATAGTTAATTTTTTTTTATTAAAAATAAAAAAATAGTTGTATTATTTAAATTAAAAAAAATTAAGGTTTCATACTGCCTTCATATAGCCAATATAAAGTAGTGATGTAGTAACTGGACAGTCGGGAAGAAAAAAATGCCATTTGCGATCGACCTTATAGTCACATGATAGTCACATGGAAGCAGTTATTCATATAACAACAATATATTCAAAATATATTATTCATATATCAACAATATATTCAAAATATATTATTCGTATATCAACATACAACAGTATTCAAAATATGTTATTCATATATCAGCAGCATATTTGAAATATATTAACAACATATTCAAAATATTCACTATATCATTAGTTTAAGTACATGCTTTAACATACTTTGAAAATATTGTAAAATTATTTTATTCATATTACAAAAATATTTACTACACTATATTAGTTTAAATTTAAATTTCAACATATATTAAAATATTATAACATTATTTTATTAATATTACAAACATATTGCATATATTAAAATATATAGAACATATATATACCATCTGTTAGTAATATGTAGTGATTATGTCTGACATATTTTGTGAAAACCAGAGGTTTCTGTAAAGTGATTCTTTTAAATTTAAGTAACTGGACCTTTGAAATGCATTTTCTTTGTATTTGCGTTCCACAAGGCTAACAAACATATTATTGGATGGTCATTGTAGTACATTTTAGTCTTTGTGTAATGGTTTATATGATTTAACTTTATTAAGTTAGAAATACGGAGTTTAAAGGTTACAAACTCATTTATATGTTTCAATAAATACGGAATTTAAAGGAGTTAAATGTTTCAAACTCATTTTGTATATTTCATTATGTCTTATGTCAATAATCAATCAGTTAATGCCGCAATAAATAAAACATACGCTTTAACAAATTATAAAATTCACAACGATATGCATAAACAACATAAATTTCAAAAACAAATAATTCTTGATGATAAATCACTTAAAGAAAATGAAAAATCTGAAGCAATAAGAATGTTAACTAAAACTTATGACAAGGGAAAGATTGTTTATAATGAAGGAACAAAAAGAATCTGTGAAAATTGTAATCAAGAATGTTTAGCTACATTATTTTGTGAACATTGTGTTCAAAATTATTTAAAAGAAAAATTTTCAAATTGGACGTCTGGAAATAATGATATTGATAAGTTAATACAAGAATGTCAAATGAAAATAATTGCGCCAGATAGTATAGCAGAATGGATTCCATACAATAATTTGCAAAATATTAAATATTTTACAAAAGGTGGATTTTCAGAAATTTATACAGCAGAGTGGATTGATGGGGCATATAGTGAATGGGATTCTAAAAAAAAAAAATTAAAAAGATTTGGAGAAACTGGAATAGTACAAACAGTAATACTTAAAAATTTAGAAAATGTTGAAAGTGCAAATCAAAGTTGGTTTGAAGAGGTTCGTAATTTAATAGATTTAATAAGTTAATTATTTAAATATTTTTTAAATTTTTAAACATAATTTTTATAGGCTAAATCACATTTAACTATAAGCAATAAATGGGCAGATATTGTCCAATGTTTTGGTTTAACACAAAATCCATCAAATGGAAATTATATGCTAGTAATGAATAAAATGGATATAGATTTAAGAAAATATTTAGAACAAAATCATAATCAACTTGCATGGAAAGAAAAAATTCAAATTGTTATTTTTATAATTTTAGCACTTTCTAGAATTCATAGAGAGAATGCAATTCATAGAGATTTGCATTCTGGAAATATATTATATAAAAAGGATGAAAGATTTTATATTAGTGACCTTGGATTTTGTGGACCTGCAGATAAGCCATTAAAAAGTATATATGGAAATCTTCCTTATATAGCACCCGAGGTTATTATTGGAAAAGAGCAGACTTTTAAATCTGATATTTATAGTATTGCAATGCTTATGTGGGAAATTTCATCTGGACAACCACCATTCATTAATTATGAACATGATTATTATCTTGCAATGAATATTGTTAATGGCATAAGACCTAAAATTGTACCAGGTACTCCTTTAGAATATAAAAATTTAATGAAACAATGTTGGGATGCTGACCCATTAAAAAGACCTGATATTGATACACTTTTGACAAAATTAAGTGAAATTAATTTGATTCATGAATCAAGTGAATTATTAACCCAATTAGAAAAATTGGACATAAGTAACTTAAAAAATTACACTAGTAGTAGCAGTAAAATACATCAATTTGAGAATCTTTCTGAACCAAGAAATGCAATGGAAGGTACTATTTATTATTATATTATTTATTAATTAATTATTTTAATGTACATTATTTATAATTAATAGTATTAAATATAAATAAATAACAATAGAGGAACAAGAAGGTACTATAATTTAGACAAGTTTTTATTTTGAATTTATTTATTTATTTATAAGGATTAATGATAAATTAATTTTGATTCTTTTTAGCATTTCACAGTAAACTATATGACTTTAATATTCCTGATAATAGTAAGTATTATAAGATTTTATTAAATATACCAATGATATAATATTTACTGTAATTGATCAATTTTTCTTTAGTTAATGATTTTGATAAACCAAATAATCAAGAAAGTAGTACTTTGAACATTGCTAATATTTTTCAAGGTATTTAATTTATTTTCTCACTATGAAAAATACTTAAAATGTACTTAAAATATAAAAATTTTTAAAATATACTTAAAATTGCAATTTTAAATATAATTTAAATGTGAATTTTTTAATGTAAAAAATTTATATTTAAAGTATACTTAAAATTGCAATTAAGTGTATTTTAAAATTTTTATATTTTTAAGTAAATTTTTTTCATAGGGTCTATAGTAAATAAATACTTAATTAAACTTAATTTACTTATTAGTTAAAAATGAAGAAACATTTAAAAAGAATGGTAAGTAAATAATTGAATATTTTAATTTAAACTGTATAATATTAAGCATAATTTTTTAAATGTTCAAAATGATTATAAAGAAGAAATAATGCAAAAGCAAATCAAGAGAGACCATGTTAATTTTGATGGTATGTATAACTATTTAAATTTTTTAGTAAAATCTATGTTTATATTAAATTTTAATGTATTTATAGATGAAAATGAAATACACAATGATCCAAATCTTCATCCAGAAGAACAAGATGAATTGGAACTTCCAGATAGTAAAATTTTTTTTTTAATAATGTTAAAAATTTTATCTGCCTTTTGACCTTAAATTAATAATTTTTATTGTTACAATTATTTTTTTTTTTTAGATATTTAGTAAATCATCAAGTTATTTAAACACTAAGATTAGAGTAGTAATATGAAATATATTTTAATATTCTTAGTTTGTAATTTAAATAACTTTAACTTATAATAAATTATTATTGATATAGTACAATATGGGACAAATTGGCGTCTGATCAGATGCTAATAAGCTTCCTTATTAGTGAGCTCTAATAAGATGGCAGTTGGAAGGGCCAGAAATTTATGGCAATCAAAAGTCCACCATACTTTACAGCAGGTAGTAGCTTTATACTGTAGATGTGACATCCGCATAATGCGCATAATGTAATTCTGGCCAAAATTGTAATTTCAGTAAAAATGATGGCTTAATTTCGGCTAGCAATAGTAATCAGCATTATGCGCATTATAAACTGGAATTTTTAAAATCTTCCCATTTCTAGCCGCAGGCTACCCTTGTGCTGATGGTTTCAATCTGTTGATTACAGAGTTGATCCGCCGCTTCTTATAGCAGGTACCATAGTAGACAATGGGTACCGCCATAGTAAACAACGGGTATCTGCCAAAGTAAACGGCAGGTACCTGCTACTTATTGAGGTAATATTGACCTATATGGAAAAATTATAATTAATTTTGGCCAAATCTTTTAAAATTTTTCCATATTTGTCAATGAAAACTCAGATAAAAATGCACCAAAATTTAATTATTAGGGGACTTGTTTTTCCATAACAGGCATTAGTGAATACCTGCTGCTGTAATTAATAGCGGGTACTTGCCGTTTCTTATAACGGGTACCTTCATAACATATAATGTATACAGTGTCAGCTTACGTATTAAACGCGATAGGTTACCCTGAAATTGCATGCTAAACCGACAGAACGGAGGTAACCTGCCGTAAAAATAATGTGTACACGATACAGTCGATACATTCATTATACCTAGGCAACTCACCAGAAAATTTAAAATCAAAACTTCCAATTGATTATAGTGATTTAACGTGCATACGCTGTATGATGGCTTTCCATAGAAATTATATCATTTAATTTCAAGCTTAAGAAGTTTAAACCCCTCCGTTATTATTTATGTTAGAAAATATATAATTTTGAATACTTTATTAATTACTAAAATGGAATGTTGTTACAGGAAATTACATCATCTTTGGCCCATCAACATGCAGACTATTAAGATAATCAGATGCAATATCAGCATTAAATAGAAGCTAAATTATGTTATTAATATTCAATACTATAAAGTATTTTTATGAATTTCTATATAATGAATATTGAGTGACGGATGAGTATCACTATTATCTCAACTGATATTTTTTTTTTGATTTTAATAAAAAAAAAAAAAAAGATTTTTTTTATTACTGAAATATAAATCTTTTTTAAAGATAATATCTTATTCAAATCCTAAGATTTGCAATTTTAGTACCTTTTTGATGATTATTATCAATTTTCCTTGAATTATTGAGACATAATTCTAATAAGGTTTCTAATGATCATAAGTATTTACTAGATGTAGCTGAATTTTCAAATGATGGAATTGCGTTTGAACTTGGAAACTTGCTGAGCGATAGCTAACTTTCCTTAGATAAAGTAATTTTTCAAGATCGAATATATTTATTATACCTTCAGTATCCACAAGACAAGCACTGCAGATGATATTTTTTTTGTTAGACCCTAGGACATACTATAAGTCGATATTTTATTAAAACAATACTTAGTTTTATTTAAAGCATTGTGCAATACTGCCTAACTAAAAAAAATAGATAAATGATAATGAAAATAACTATATATGACGTCAACTGAATTATATGTAAATCGGTATGTCAGGTTTTAACAATTTCTTTAATCAATCAACTTACTAGAACATTATTTTATAGAAGGAAAGGAAATAAGTATAATGTTTTTACTCGACAACAAAAATAATACAATAAATTATGATTATGGAATCCAATTTTAATAATATAATACATTTTTAAATTTGTTAATTCAGCCTATGATCAACTCGGGCGTATTACTTTGTAATAAATATTTAAAAATAACGACCAAAACGGGCTTTATATTTGATCGGATCTGTATATATCGGAAAATGAATGCATAACAGACAGTATATCATATCCTATGAGTGCTATCCATATAAAACATATACCGTATTTTGCGGTAAGTGAGCACCCCCCGAAAATAAGCACCCCTGGCTAGAATTATGAGGATCTTGGCCGGCATCAAGTGCAAAAAAGGGTGCTTATATACTGCAAAATACGGTACATTTTTTTATTCGTTATTATTTATCACGCACTGATTTACGATTAAAGTAAATTTATAAATTATGTAGTTGTCCAAATATAAATTATAAAAAACAGAGCAAATCCAATGATAATAATAAAACATCCTTTATGAAAACAGTACAAATAAGTTCATTAAATAATTTTGTTTAATTAACAGAATCAGCAATCTGCAAAGAAGGTAGAGGAGAGGATCTAAAAGTAAGACTAACAACCAAATGGATCGGATTCTATTGGATAAAATCTATCTTATAGCTTTTCTTACTGGTTTCACGAAAAGAATAAAAAATTTTCGCATAATATATAAATTATTATTAAATAACCTATTATTGGGCAATAAAGATTTATATTGTTTGTAGCCTAGGTTTCGGATTGGTGCCACATCAACACTAATAAATTCGGTAGAATATATAACAGAAACAAAATCAATTCAACCACGCTTAAATTAGGACCCGATAATGCCGTTAGATCCCTCTTTTTTTTAGGTGGCATTATGTAATTCTGGCCATTAAGAGTCGCGTAGGATCTCTTGTTACTTATTTACAGAATATATTAATTATTTTTTACTTTTTGTTACACGAATACATATAAGGCAAAGTAAGTCCGAGACGAACATTAAAAAAAAAATTTTTTATCAAATAATAACCATAACTTGTTAAAATTCAATAAATATGATTTTTGATAATAATGATTTAATATTTTAATGAAATTTTTTCTTTCAAAATTTTTTGCAGAAATTGGAAATACTAAATTATTAAATATTTTAAAAAAATATTTATTAAATTGATTAATATTGACTTTTTATAAATATTTCTAAGGCATACCACTTTCTAATATAAACATACATCAAAAATTACTATGAAGGTGAGAAAGGGGTTTTGTTTACTCCTATTTTATGTTTAATAATGCAAAATTAGGTTTTTATTCAACTCATTGATGAATTTTAATATAAAATGCTGTGTCATACAAATGTATCCTTTTGAAGTTAGTTCCTTAACAACGCTCTATCCGCAGAATCACGTTTTTTGATCATCGTCGGTTAAATCAACACCAATTATCTAATTCACATGTCCATCATCGGTAACAAAATAATCCGTTATTTAGGATTTACCCCCTTAAAGAATTTTATTATTTGAATGATCGAACGTCCCTTTTTTGATTTAAGTTCCGATTTTTCTACTATCATTGTAAGTACCAAATAAAATTAATAAATGAAAGCAATTCAAGAAGAAAATAAAACTGCATTATATTTAGATGATTTAATTCTGAATTTTTGATTTATAAATAATTTTACATTAACCATCATGATAAAATAATTATAGAGCCCCGAAATATATGAATAGAGGCCAGTAGACCGAGTATAGTATCTAATATTTTGACCGGAATTATTCACAAAAGGCGAGATCTACATAATTATTTTGCCCATTCTACCATTCTACGCAGACGCAGTTATGTATATTTCGGATCCTGTGATTATTCGATCCCGATGCAATGCAAGAACCCTCAGTATGTTTATAATACTAACTATATTTACCGGTTTTCGTGTTTCCGCTATCAGCCTATTGTAGGTTAAAAAACCGGCTTACTTAAACCTATTTAAGCGAAACTCGGTTAAATTCTATCCATAATACTTGTGAACGGAAAAATTTTTTCTTATTATTGATTAAAAAATGGATATAAATATCACTTTTTCAAGTTCAAAAAAAAAAAAATTAAAAAATTTTTCATTTTATACATTACCAAGCAAAAGAAAATAATATTAAAATA